GGAAGGAAGGAAGGAAGGAAGGATTGAGGTGGCTGGGTGCCCCTGAAACATTGGAGTGAATTTCCCTCCTTTGAGGATCCTGACATATATATCTGTTAATCCAGGTGTGGTGTCAACTGGAAGCTGCATTCCAGTTTTCCATGGGAAAAATATGTATATATAATTGTATACCACTCCTTTTCAGCTTCTCAATTGACAGAAGACTGTTCATTGACCAACGGGCATGCTTTTCCATAGCTGAGTATTTCTAAACAGCTAATTTCTAAGCAGTCTTATTTTTTTCTATTGTTCTTTCCAGCCCATGGGCATTTTCTCCATCCTGGAAGAAGAGTGCATGTTCCCCAAGGCAACAGACACTTCTTTCAAGAACAAGCTCTATGATCAACATATTGGCAAATCTCCTAATTTCCAGAAGCCCAAACCTGTCAAAGGCAAGGCTGAGGCTCACTTCGCTCTGGTGCATTATGCTGGCACTGTGGACTATAACATCACTGGCTGGCTGGAGAAGAACAAGGACCCCCTGAATGATACAGTGGTGGGGCTTTACCAGAAGTCTTCTATGAAGACTTTGGCCGTACTGTTTGCCGATCGCCCTGCGGATGCTGGTAATCACTGTAAAATCAACACTTGGAGTGTTTCTCATGAAATTAAGCAGATCAATTATTTAGTAAATTGAAATCTCATTAAACTTTTCCAATTTCAGAGGGCGGCGGCAAGAAAGCTGCAAAGAAGAAGGGTTCCTCCTTCCAGACTGTCTCTGCTCTTTTCAGGGTAACAAACAAACAAATATTTTTTCCTCTTTGAAGATTGAAACATACCTCATGAAACACACACCAGTTCCCCTCATTTCTCAGTATTTACATGCAAGGCTATTTTGAATAATCTTGAAACACTGAGTCAGATTGAATTCATGGATCATGTTTCTTTTTTGATCACTCATTTAAAATGAAAACATGTCCATACCTGTCAGCAAAATCTGAGTAAGAATTCACACAAGCCCCTGAAGTACTCTTGGATGGTGGTGGGGAGCGTCAAAACTGAAGTACTGAATAGCCACAGAAATGTGAATCCTTACGTGTCACACATGGCCTCACTTAAAGGACACATTGTTATCATGGATGTCCCCGTTGTCATGGAAATAAGATGCTAATAAACCTGACCAGTAATTTATTTATTCACTGAAAGTGCAAAAGACTATACTGTACACCCCAAACTTCTAATAAAGCATTAGCTGCACCTATTAGGAACTATAATAACTTCAGTGGAATCTAAATGCTATGTCTCTTCTGTTTGATCGAGCTATCCTCCCCACCAACCTATTTGTGTACGCTTCACCTTCGCATGCACAGATTCCTGCTTTGGTTTGTTGCACTGATGTATTTGATGTCTTGTTCTACAGGAGAACCTAAACAAATTGATGACCAATCTGAGAAGCACTCACCCGCATTTTGTGCGCTGCATTATTCCCAATGAAACCAAAACACCAGGTAGGACCTTGAGTTGTAAAGACAGATAGAGGTGTGGTATTGTTTGCCTCTCCAGATTGCAGCCTTTGATGCTGATTACTGTTTTGCCTTGTTTGAAAGGTGCAATGGATCACGAGCTTGTGCTGCACCAGCTGAGGTGTAATGGAGTGTTGGAAGGCATCCGTATTTGCAGAAAAGGATTCCCCAGCAGAATCATTTATGGTGATTTCAAACAGAGGTCAGCTTGGCCCTTCTATAATGCTTTGAGCTATACATGGCATATGTTATTTTTTAAAAGCTTTAATTGCAGAAACAGCTAACAGAATTTAACTAGATCTTATACCCACTCACAGGGAGAAAGCACTACCAAAATTGGTGGATTTGGTTCTGGGTAAATATGTACAGGATTGTACTGTTAGTCTTGATGAGAATCGCAGAAAAGATTTCCCTAATGAATCAAGCATTCATGGTTTTTCGATATGTTCTCAATCATTCCCAATGTGTTTTCAGAAATAAACCATTATTTTAAAGCAGTTTATTTTTGTGTACTAATAATCCCTTCACACTGTTTTGAAGGTGAATAATGTTCACCAATTGCTGCTTGTAAAACAGGTGATTCAGTGACAAGATATATGTACCTTTTATTTCCTCTGCAGGTACAAGGTTTTAAATGCCAGTGCCATCCCAGAGGGACAGTTCATTGACAGCAAGAAAGCTAGTGAGAAGCTTCTTGCATCCATTGATATTGACCACACCCAGTATAAATTTGGACATACTAAGGTATAACTTGTGCCCAAAATGAGCAACTTCTAAACTTGTGTAGAGATTGAGTGTGACATTCAACAACATTTCTTTTCTGCAGGTGTTTTTCAAAGCTGGTCTTTTGGGTCTTCTAGAAGAGATGAGAGATGACAAGTTGGCTCAGCTGATAACACGTACACAGGCTATGTGTCGTGGGTTCTTAGCAAGAGTAGAATACCAGAAAATGTTGGAAAGAAGGTATGACCCTCCCAAGCTTACTAATGAAATGAATATAACTAAAATCAAATACCAATTAAAATGTCATCACAAACAGACTATTTTTTTGTCCAGAAGCAGTCAGAGCTTCAGATGTGTGCAGAAACTTTTCCTCAACTTCAGCTTCTATCCATTGGGTTGGCATTCATGAAATGGGCAGGTTTCCCAATGCAACACTTTCGGAACTGAAGAATTTGTCTACTGCACACCATTGCCAAGGGATGCCCGAGTGTACTCAAAATGCTTTCCCACTTTTGGGGGAGGTTCCTTCTATGTCCTTGAAGAAAAGCAGTGTCAGAGGACATGTTGTTTTGAGTCTTCATTTACTGCTTGTGTGGAAAAGCAGTTATTTCTGCCTCCTGCTACTCTGAGCTTTGATTCATGGAGAATCTGCTCGTCCTTCATTTGTGGCTTGGATTCATAATGGTATATTTAACTATCAAAACCAGACTTCTTTATCTGTCTAAACTGTGTTACCTTAAGTGTTTGAATTTTTAAAACTGGGTTTCTGGAAACCATATAGTTTTCAAATCCCATTTTGTTTCTTTGTACTCTCTCTTGCACAGAATTTAAAATGAAGAGGGAGGATTTTTGCATTTTCTGACAGAACAGTAATCTTAAATTCTGCATTCTTTAGTATGGCTTTTGACATGGATAAATTACCATTATACAGCCTTCATTTTACTTCTGGCCTAGATGCCTTTGTGGACTCGAGATAGATTTCACATGCTACATTTTATTTTGTCCTGTTTACTAGGACAAAATGTTAATTTTTTAGATACAATTCTATTAGGATTCTATGAGGAAGAATCCCAGATACGACTATATAGCCATTGCCAGAGCTTTAATATTTTATTTTTATGACCACAATGGAGTCTCTTTTTGCATTGCCTAATGCAAGGATTTCCCTAAAAGTGCCAATAAAAATTATATTTAACATATCACAGAGATTCCCACATTTGATAACAATTTTGGAATTCCATTATTTTCATCTATTCTTTCTTTTGTGGCGCAGTGGTTAAAACGCTGTACTGCTGCCTAATGCAAGGATTTCCCTAAAAGTGCCAATAAAAATTATATTTAACATATCACAGAGATTCCCACATTTGATAACAATTTTAGAATTCCATTATTTTCATCTATTCTTTCTTTTGCTGCTCGTTGAGGTTTTCTTTTATAAACTTGAATTTTGCATACCATGTTTTGTAGTCAGAGCAATTCTTGGAATTATATTTGCAAATGTTATTTTGGTATCATATATTTTTTGTGTATCTGACAGTTTGCAAAGTCTTTTGGCCATAAATAATAAATGTTTCATTCGACTGGACTATTCTGCTACATAGCATTCAATACATATCTTATTCTTCTTGACAGAGAAGCCATCTTTAGTATTCAATACAACATCCGTTCCTTCATGAATGTCAAGCATTGGCCATGGATGAAGTTGTACTTTAAGATAAAGCCTTTGTTGAAGAGCGCTGAGGCAGAGAAAGAGATGGCCAATATGAAAGAAGAGTTTGCAAAAACAAAGGAGGAACTTGCAAAGTCAGAGGCCAAGCGGAAACAGCTGGAAGAAAAACTGGTGTCTCTGATGCAAGAGAAGAATGATCTGCAGCTCCAAGTCCAGTCTGTAAGCACACTTTGTGACACTGAACATCCTCGTTCTGTTGACTTTATGCCCTTACTTTCAATATAGGAAAAGTTCATAGATAATATTTGAGGTTCTAATAAATACATATAATATAATAAATACTCAAATATATTTGTCACACATACCTAGCAGTGTGTTTAATTAATCAAGAATCTTGAATATTAAATTCTGAGTGTGACAAAGAGTAGCTAGGATCAATTCAAAAGCTTCCCAAGCTGGTTTCCCAAAACATCAGAGAATGTGTAGGAGGTTGTCATTCACTCAGTCAGTATACAGCCTATTTGCTCTTATTAAAGAGTTTGCTGATAAAAGTACATTACTAAATATAACTGAAGAATAAATATTTTATATAAATTTCGGTTTGGAATCTGAAGATTATCTGTGCAAAAATCCACTCAGGAAATGGATTTTGGAAAGGCAGTGAGACATTAAAAGGCAAAAAAAAATATGTAATAGTCATTAGCCGCTCAGAGTGGTCACATAGACCAGATGGGCGGGATACAAATCAAATACAGTAAATAAATAAATATTATTTTCAGAGACACTATTAAAACTGTTCTTCATTGTTAGAGATAAGAAAGAGACTAATAGAAGGGGGAAAACAGCCTGATTTTTTCCCCCCAGGAATCTGATGCTGTGTCAGATGCTGAGGAGAGATGCGACCAGCTGATCAAAACCAAGATCCAGCTGGAAGCTAAAATTAAGGAGCTGACTGAACGGGCAGAAGATGAAGAGGAAATGAACGCTGAGCTGACAGCCAAAAAGAGGAAACTGGAGGATGAGTGCTCAGAACTGAAGAAAGACATTGATGACCTTGAGTTGACCCTGGCCAAGGTTGAAAAGGAGAAGCATGCCACAGAAAACAAGGTACGTACACCCAGTTTAAGAGAAACTTGCTAAATGGTAAAAGGCATTTGCACAGGATAATACAGTACAATGTGGGCTCTACTTATTCCCTTCTAAAAGGTCAAAAACCTCACAGAAGAGATGGCCGTCTTGGATGAGAACATTGCCAAACTGACCAAGGAAAAGAAAGCCCTTCAAGAGGCCCATCAGCAGACCTTGGACGACTTGCAGGCAGAGGAAGACAAAGTGAATACTCTGACCAAAGCAAAGACCAAGCTGGAGCAGCAAGTGGATGATGTGAGTGAAACAACACAGAGAAGTACAGTTCTGAGGTAAAGTATTAGAGCAGCAAAATATTTATCATCTCTTTCTCTTCAGCTTGAAGGGTCTTTGGAACAAGAGAAGAAGATCAGGATGGATCTAGAAAGAGCCAAGAGGAAGCTGGAAGGAGATTTGAAACTGTCCCAGGAATCCCTAATGGATCTAGAAAATGATAAGCAGCAGCTGGATGAGAAGCTTAAGAAGTAAGTAACATGTTCTGTGGAAGAGCCCTTAGGAAGCTACCCTGCTACACATCCCTCTTAGCAGTTCACCTGGAAAATAACACTTGATATCTTCTTGCATAAAGGAAAGATTTTGAGATCAGCCAGCTCCAAAGCAAAATTGAAGATGAGCAGGCCTTGGGTGCCCAGCTTCAGAAGAAGATCAAAGAGTTGCAGGCAAGTCAAGCTCCCTTGTGAGTCAATGAATCCGTTCATCTCGGAAAACATTTTGACTCTAAATGGCTACTTTTCTCCTTTTAGGCTCGTATAGAGGAACTGGAGGAAGAGATTGAGGCAGAGCGTGCATCTCGGGCCAAAGCAGAGAAGCAGCGGGCTGACCTCTCCAGGGAACTGGAGGAAATCAGTGAGCGTCTGGAGGAAGCTGGTGGGGCAACAGCGGCTCAGATTGAGATGAACAAAAAACGTGAGGCTGAATTCCAGAAATTGCGTCGGGACCTTGAAGAGGCCACTCTGCAGCATGAAGCCACTGTAGCTGCCCTCCGCAAGAAGCATGCAGATAGTGCATCTGAACTTGCAGAACAGATTGATAACCTTCAGCGAGTGAAACAGAAGCTGGAGAAAGAGAAGAGTGAGCTGAAGATGGAGATTGATGACCTTGCTAGCAACATGGAGTCTGTCTCCAAATCAAAGGTATGTTGCTGCCATTTAAAAATTGGAAACAAAGATGCCTGAGAGACATTTATACAATGTTATATTGGATTAGATTCTGTCCATTGTGATTGTTGAAATGATTCAACATGGTGAAATATTTCAATTTCAGGACTGTGGTTTGAGCTTTTAATGGAAAATACCTCTGCAAAAAAGACATTTTAGATGGATGTTCTCTTGCTGCTCATTAGACTCTGTGGTGGGTGCCTCCACCTAGGCAACATGAGGGCAATTTTCTTTTTAAACGGGAAACTACATGGACCTTTAGGGTATGCTGTTCTCCAGTTAAGTAAAATGGTGGTGTTTCTTTCTGGGGAATTATTGGAGAATTCTGAGAGGTGGAGCCCATAAAATCCAAACGGCACATCTCATTCCTTACCCTCACATGAGATGGAGGACATTGTTCTATTTGCAGTGATGAAGTGAGGTTCACCAGTTTGTCCAATCATCTTCTATTAGTGGAACAAATCAACTCACATTATTCTTTCATTCCTGTACACATTTAGGCCAATCTTGAAAAAATGTGCCGCACCCTGGAAGACCAGCTTAGTGAGTTTAAAACAAAGGACGAAGAGCATCAGCGTACGATTAATGACCTGAATGCTCAAAGAGGTCGCCTACAGACTGAAGCAGGTAAATGGGTCAAGTAACTAATAGGAACTCTGAAAGTTCTGTGAGGATATTACTGATTCTGAAAAACACAGCAATCTTTTCTCCTACTTTATATGCCTTCTTTATGATATTAATCATGACTTAATTGAATATTTAGTTGGCTGCATAGCTTAATAGTTAAGGTATCTGGCTGTGGCCCAGAAGATGGGAATTTGATTTCCCACTGTGCTTCCTGGGATAAGAGTCAAAATGTGTCATCATGGGCAAGCTGCACAATCCCATCATCATCCCATTTGTTTCAGGTGAATACTCACGACAGGTAGATGAGAAAGACAGTTTGATCTCCCAGCTCTCCAGAGGCAAGCAAGCTTTTACTCAACAAGTTGAAGAACTGAAGAGACAACTTGAGGAAGAGATAAAGGTGTGGACTTTGAATCAAGACTATCTTTTATGGTCTTTCATAATATCAGAAGCATGTGTGAGGGACCTTTACCAGTTCCTTAAAACAAGTCTCTCTCATACAAGATTACCCTTAGTTGAGTGCTTAAGAATTATGTAGAACAAATTCCATTTTCTAATGCCTACTCTGAAAATGGTGCAATCTGTAAAACCATATTAATTCTATAGGCCAAGAATGCCCTGGCCCACGCCTTGCAGTCTTCTCGCCATGACTGTGACCTCCTTCGAGAACAATATGAGGAAGAGCAGGAAGCCAAGGCTGAGCTGCAACGTGCCATGTCCAAGGCCAACAGTGAAGTGGCCCAGTGGAGAACCAAGTATGAGACGGATGCCATTCAAAGGACTGAAGAACTGGAAGAGGCCAAGTAAGGAACAAGGAGTGGGCAAATGATTTGCAAATAGCTGTGTGGATAAGATTAGAAAATATATTCATTTACAGGAACAGCTACATACTTGCTGGAAGAATGGGAATGGCTATTTTTGAATCTGGGTTTAGTTGAGCAGAAGACCATTATGCTTCTTTCTACTGAGATTTCTGAGTATTGAACACACCATTCATCCACAAAGTTAGCCAAGTGATTGGATCATGTGTCAGAAGGACCCACAAGCAGATGTCTTCCATTGCTACAGAAAAAGCACAAGGACCTCTAGTGTTAATCCCATCTAGAATAAACCCACTGAAATTAATGGGACTTGTATCAGTAGTGACAAACACATCCTACTCTTTTCAGTAGTTCTAGTCTAGTTCAGTGGATCTGATTTTAGCCCGAAATCCAGAGTAAATAAGTAAATTAAGATGTTCAAACTGCTTGGGTGGCTACGTCATTCAGCCTTATGCTACTGCTGGCCACGCCATTTATCATGGTCAAGGTTCAAGAATTTGTTGTAATTGAATACAGGACACTTAAATATATAAAACAAAGAGTGCTGTGCTTATACTTTTTCAGGAAAAAGCTTGCCCAGCGTCTCCAGGAAGCTGAAGAACATGTTGAAGCTGTGAATTCCAAATGTGCTTCTCTTGAGAAGACAAAACAGAGGTTGCAGAATGAAGTGGAGGACCTGATGATTGATGTGGAAAGGTCCAATGCAGCCTGCGCAGCTCTAGACAAGAAGCAGAAGAACTTTGATAAGGTCTTGTTGATCATAAGTAAACAGCAGCACATTGCACAAAGGGTTCATATCTAAGGGTGTGCTCAATGACAAAACAGATTGCAATCTGAACTGTATGTGGGGCAGTCTGGTGCAATCTATTTCATGCCCATCGCATGACACAGGGAAATGCACTCCGGTCAGTTCCATATACAGTACATGCCCAACATGGATTTTTGGTCCAGCTGTGGGGCTTCTACATTTGGAGGCTGAGCAATTCCTCAGACAAGGCATCACTCCCATAAAAGTGACCCTTTCCTTTGTGAGCAGGCATGCACCTTCACTGACTGGATAAACAAAGCTCACAATCATCAGGCGGACCTTTTCCGTATAGTACGCGATCTATCCGGAGTTGGCCACAGTGATAGGCCTCCCTCTAGTATCTCCTGTGACCAATTTGTGGCATTTTTGAATCTAAAGTAGAGACCATCCACCGGGACCTTGATCCCTCTTTACAGACAGTAGATCGAGCTGAGATGTCCAGTGCATCGTCTTGCCCGGCGAGGTTAACTTGCTTTCAACCTGTGATTTCCAATGAGGTGGACAGGGTGCTTGTGCACTGTTGTGCCACCACCTCCTCTTTAGACCCTTGCCCGGCCTGGTTCCCCCTGCCCTCAAGCAGACACTCATCAGGCCCATTAGAAAGGATCCTAATTTGGCGGCAGACGAAATTGGGAATTACAGGCCCGTCACCAATGTTTCTTTCATGAGTAAAGTGGTTGAGAGGGTGGTGGCCGATCAGCTCCAGCCCCTCCTGGAGGAAACTGATGCCCTTGATCTGTTCCAATCAGGCTTCAGGCTGCAGCATGGTATGGAAACGGCATCAGTCACTCTGCAGAATGACCTCCCGAGGGAGGCCAACAGGGGCAATATATCCTTGTTGGTCCTCCTCGATATCTCAGTGGCCTTTGATACTGTCGACCACGGTATCCTCCTGGGGCAGCTCTCCGAGTTGGGAATCGGTGGTCTCGCTTTGGCGTGGCTTCGTTCTTTCTTGGAGGACCGTCCCCAGAGAGTTCAGCTTGGGGGGATGACTTCCACCCCATGGATCCTCAGTTGTGGGGTTCCGCAGGGGTTGATCATCTCACCAATGCTATTTAATATCTATATGAGGCCGCTGGGTGAGGTCATCTGGAGGTGTGGAACTCGGTGTCATCAGTACACTGATGACACCCAGCTCTACCTCTCTTTTTTTCCTACTTCAGTGGATGGTGTTCTGTCCCTTGAATGCTGCTTGGGGTCCGTTCTGGGGTGGATGAGGGCAAATGGACTGAGGTTGAATCCAGAAAAGACCGAAATCTTGTGCGTGGGTGGCCTCGGTGTCTGTGGGTTGGGAAACTCCCTCTCCTTTGTGGGGGTGACTCTTCCCATGAAGATTGAGGTTCGCTGCTTGGGCATCTGCCTGGACCCGGATCTCACCATGGAAACCCAGGTGGCATCTGTGGTCAGGGCAGCCTATTTCCATCTTTGGAGGATTGCCCAGCTGCATCCCTATCTAGACGTGGGAATACTCATAACACTGATTCATGCCCTCGTAATCTCAAGAATAGACCTACATGGGGCTACCCTTGAGGCTGATGCAGAGACTTCACCTTGTCCAGAATTTGGTGGCCAGATTAATAACTGGCGTGAAGAAATTCCAGCACATCTCCCCCACTCTGATCGCCCTTCGTTGGCTACCGGTTCATTTGCGCATCGACTTCAAGGTTATGATGATACAATTCAAAGCCCTAAACCGTTTAGGACCTAGGTACCTATGAGAACGCCTGCTCCCGGCCAGATCTGTCCATAATACCCATTCTTCAGAGGCGGGGCGGTTGAGGGTCTTGACCCCGAAGGAGGCCCAGAGGGAAAGAACAAGAAACTGGGCCTTCTTGGTGGTTTGCCTCCGCCTAAGGAACAACCTGCCTACTGAGATCCGCATGGCATCCTCGCTGGATGGATTCAAAAGAGCATTGAAGACTAAGCTCTTCCACCAGGCTTTCCTGGAGCATTAAGATCTCAACCTCCCTTTTACCATCCTTTTTGCCATCCTCTCCATCACCCCTTTTTACCACCTTCATTACCATCTGTTTTAATTTTCCTATTTGTCATGTATTAATTTATTTTTATCATGTTTTATTTTTATTTTCCCCTTATATTGTTGTTAGCCGCCCAGAGTAGCCTGGTTGCCAGATGGTGTGGGATATACAAATAATAAGCAAACAAACAAACACACTCCACTCTGTATTTGTGAAGGCTTTCACGTCCGGGATCTACTGGCTGTTGTGGGTTTTTTGGGCTCTTTGGCTGTGTTCTGAAGGTTGTTCTTCCTAACGTTTCGCCAGTCTCTGTGGCTGGCATCTTCAGAGGACAGCAGTGCCAGCCACAGAGACTGGGGAAACATTAAGAAGAACAACCTTCAGAACACGGCCAAAGAGCCCGAAAACCTACAACAACCAGTACACTCCACTATGTTCAACATCCGTGCTATGGTGCTTCTAAATTTGGGGGCTGAGCTGGAATGATTCCCCAGCACACAGCATCACTTCCTGTGTGATCAGGCATGCACCTTTGCAGCCATTTGATCGCACTCTAATTCATTAACTATCTTTTGCTGGGGTTTTTGTTTTTGTTTTGTAGATTCTGGCTGACTGGAAGCAAAAATATGAGGAAACTCAGTCTGAACTGGAAGCTGCCCAGAAGGAGTCTCGCTCTCTCAGCACAGAGCTCTTTAAGATGAAGAATGCTTATGAGGAATCATTGGACCACCTGGAAACTCTGAAGCGAGAGAACAAGAATCTCCAACGTAAGGCCATCATCTTTACACAGGCATTCAGCAGAGCTGGTCCATATTTGTAATTGCAGCTTTCTATTTGACTTTTTAATATGTAAATAAGCAGAGGAGATTGTAATGGCTTTCTATTTGACTTTTTAATATGTAAATCAACAGAGGAGATTGCTGACCTGACGGAGCAGGTTGCTGAAGGAGGAAAAGCTATCCATGAACTGGAAAAAGTGAAGAAGCAGATTGAACAAGAGAAAATTGATCTCCAGACTGCTCTAGAGGAAGCTGAGGTACATATATCATTACGGAATTATTTTGGGGGATAAATCAGGAAGCATTTATCCTAAACACTGTTCTCTGAGCTACCCTAATGGATTAAAAAAACAGAGTATATACAGACTTCCACCATGTGTCCTCTTATTAACTCTTTGCTTTCAAGGCCTCACTAGAACATGAGGAAGGGAAGATCCTCCGCATCCAGCTAGAGCTCACCCAGGTGAAGGCTGAGATTGACAGAAGAATTGCAGAGAAGGATGAAGAGATTGATCAGCTGAAGAGGAATCACTTGAGGGTGGTAGAAACCATGCAGAGCACACTGGATGCTGAGATCAGGAGCAGAAATGAGGCTATGCGGCTCAAGAAGAAGATGGAGGGGGATCTGAATGAAATGGAAATCCAGCTGAGCCATGCCAACCGCCAAGCTGCTGAGGCCATGAAGAACCTCAGGAACACACAAGGACTGTTAAAAGTACGTAGATATATATCTAGTTCTCAATCCAGGGAACAATTACAACTGTTGCTTTGCCAAGGGCTCCCTGACCATAACATCTTAATCAACTTTCCCAGGACACACAACTACATTTGGATGATGCCCTCCGTGGTCAAGAAGATCTAAAAGAGCAGTTGGCCATGGTGGAGCGCAGGGCTAACCTGATGCAAGCTGAGATAGAGGAACTCCGGGCAGCTCTGGAACAGACAGAGAGGGGCAGGAAAGTGGCTGAACAGGAACTGCTGGATGCCAGCGAGCGTGTGCAGCTCCTCCACACACAGGTAACTGAACATCTGCTTTTTCATGGGTTCATGAAATCTCCAAAGAAGATGTGAGTAAGCCATTACTGTGTTGCACAAAAAAAGGTAGATGGAAGGTAACTATTTCTTTGTTCTAAAAACAGCTGCTGTGGATTATCTATTCTACTTAAGAACAAATGATGTACAAGTCTTCAGTCCTTTTTGGAATGCAACAAACTACATTTTCATGTCCTAGTGACAATAAATTTCAATAAATATACTCAACTATTCCCAACTGACACTGATTTCAAGTTCTTCTAGGATTTTAATATCACAGTTAAAGGAGGACTGGAATGCTATTGTTAAATATCATTATATGATAGGATTCTTAAGGGTTTATGAAGACTTCAGCAGGAGTGTTGAGGAACTTTCATATTTACACCAAGGGTAGGAAATCTTTTTCAGCCTGCAGTGTCTTGTAGCAACTAAATGCAATATACAAAAACCTTGGTTGTGTTATTTTCAAACAGAATACCAGCTTGATCAACACCAAGAAGAAGTTGGAAACAGATATAGCCCAAATCCAAAGTGAAATGGAGGAGATAGTTCAGGAAGCGCGCAATGCAGAAGAAAAGGCCAAGAAGGCCATCACTGATGTAAGTCGGAAAAAGCTTCCTAAGAAAAGATTACTCTGTTTACACCTAGCATGTATAGCTTTCTAATTTGGCTGCCTTGTATCATTAGGCAGCCATGATGGCAGAGGAATTAAAGAAGGAACAAGACACCAGTGCTCACCTAGAGAGGATGAAGAAGAATCTGGACCAGACTGTGAAGGACTTGCAACACCGTCTTGATGAAGCAGAGCAGCTGGCATTGAAAGGAGGGAAGAAACAGATCCAGAAACTGGAGGCCAGGGTGAGTAAAACTCATAGTGTATATACAAAATTATTCTATGGATAGCCTGTATCCATTTCAAATCCTCTACAATAATTGACCACAAAATGTGCCGATTTTGTGCCAATGTTGTGCCCATCTTCTCCTCTTGAACCACTCTGTCAATGTGGTTAGGTGTGCAGTCTCGTAAGAATGTAATAGTATTAGACTGTTTTTTGCAGAACAGAAAATAATGAAGGAAATTTCAATGTTTTAATGACATAAACACTGATTTCTTCAATGTTCACATTCATTCTGATTACACTTAGTTATCAGCATGTCCTACACTGGGGAATGGATCAAAGATGGCCCAGCTTAATAGGCTTGGAAACAAATTCACTTAGAGCAGACCAAGTGGATTAATCAGAACTTCGTATGTTAGCACTTGAGTAAATTCCATTGGTCCAGCAGACCTACTCTGGTATTTCACCTCAAAAGTCAAGAATGAATGTTGACATACTGATGAGCAACAGTAAAAGTCCCCAAAAGATAACAGTTGAGAATCTGGGGAAGCAAGATCACATTTTTTACTAGAACAACTCCAGGCATGGGATGCAGATGAACAGAAGAGAAGAAACTGTTGTAAGTATGCTGACAGCTGAGGAAGTTCCAAGTGATCAGGAGAGGATTTTTACTGAAACAGGAGTCAAAGATAAGAACGGTTTGGAAAGGTGGAAAGAGATGTTGTGGGTGGCACCTGTCTATTCAGTCAGCTGTATCTAATCTTAATGAGTATATTTCCCCATACATTGACAAACTTTAAGGCACCTCTAGTACCAGAACATCAGATGAAGTGCAGACATTTCATTCTGTTTTAGGTTCGTGAGCTGGAATCTGAGTGTGAGAATGAGCAAAAGCGGAGTGCTGAAGCTATCAAAGGTGTGCGGAAGTATGAGAGAAGAGTAAAGGAAATGACCTATCAGGTGAGAATGGGTACTTTCAGAAAAAATTCACATGCTTTAGGTGATTGAACAATGGAATAGTAACTTGCATTTGAAATTCTTCCTTCCTTCCTTCAGGCTGAGGAAGATCGAAAGAATATTCTGAGGCTCCAGGATCTGGTGGATAAACTACAACTCAAAGTAAAAGCATACAAGCGACAATCTGAGGAGGCTGTAAGTACACAATCTGATTCTAAGCAGATCACACTATTGTGCTTACATTACCAATGAATTCTGAGAATATATAGTGTTAGTCATGAGAAGATTTAGACACTGGCAGCATGCTTTAAGTATACCTGGGGTCTGAAGGGCCGTCTACTTCTCTTTCATGTTATGGGTTTCTCCATATACTTGTAGTCTGTGAGCTTTTAGATTGATTCTATGCATTTTAAAACGATTTGAGAAGAATGATTGTGAACTACTGTCCAGATGGTTGAATGCTGGAAAAAGTCCTTCACCTTCAGAGGTTTCATATCTTTGTCTGTTTACAGGAGGAACTGTCCAATACAAATCTTTCCAAGTTCCGCAAGATTCAGCATGAGCTGGAAGAGGCCGAAGAGCGGGCCGACATTGCTGAGTCCCAAGTGAACAAGCTCCGGGCGAAGACCCGAGAAGTGCATAAGAAGGTTATTGTGAGTGAAGAATAAGGTCCTCAAGAAGCTGCAAAGTGACTCAAGAGAAGCGCAAAATGTGAAGCTCTTGGTCACTTCTTGTAACTACTGTCCATTTTTCTTTAGTGTTTAGAAAATAAAGACTACAGAGAACGTTGCATACTGAAAATGGTTGTGACTTTTTTTTAACCTATTGGTTCTATTGGTGGTGGTAAACTGTGCAGTAACGTAGAAAATAAAGGCTATAGAGAATGTTGCATACTGAAAATGGTTGTGCCTTTTTTTTAACCTATTGGTTCTATTAGTAGGATTGGTGGTGATAAACTATGCAGTAACATGGCTGCCTCTCAGCAGTTTTCAATCATGTTGTGGTGAAAAACTGTGGCCCTCTGTAGGTTTTTGGACTGCAGCTGCCACAGTTACTCATCATTAGCTCTGCTGGCTAAGGCTACCGGGAGTTGGAGCTCAAAACATCTGCAAGGCCATAGTGGCCCATTCCTTGGATACATGTATTTTATGTACACACTGAGAAAAGTTATACATGCAAAGACTCTCAGGATTACATGAACAGTGAGTTACTGTGACAGTGGGAGTCTTCATCTAGCTGAAACTAAACATTTGATCTGAGTTTACATCACTGTCATGTTGGACTTCCCTTTTTAAAAGGGGATAGTTTTAAATGTAAATGACTGAAACAATTAATACTTAATCCAACTCATTCTTGAGGTTAATGCTGAATTCAGGAGCTCTATATACAATGCAACAAAGTGCTCTCTTTCATGTGAAATATGCAGATGCTTTCGGCAATCATTTGTATTATTTATTCATATAATATAGTTCTGGGTTTTGGTGTTTATTAAATACTTCAGAACAATTTCAGAAGTAGTGTAATCCCATGAAAGATTTGGTGAAAAGATGAGCTTATGTTCTGGTTTATTCTTCAGGTGCGGGTAAGGAGGTGGTTTTAAAAGCATCCTTACTTCAATGGGGCTTAATCACATGTAACTCTATACTTTATTGCTATCGTGCTGTCCAAAGGAATGCTTTAGTCTGCAATTCATATACAGAATTATACCAGTATCAGTGATACAAGAATCAAGGGGTAGAAATGGAATTGTTCTTAAGACACCTTTTGCATATGCAATAGTAATAAAATGTCAAAACTGAATGCAAATAGATCTTAGATACACATTTTAAGACAGTCTTTTAAAAATCACTACAAAGTACATGCTAATTCACCTGAAATGGATTGTAAACTGAGGATGCTTTCAGGTGAAGTAGTATGCCACCATTCTGCATTTTTTAAAGATTGAAATTCAAAGGTGGTCCTGACATTTTCCAGTGTATATTCCACATGAAATATGAAATAGCTGCACAGTGTAATTTGACTGTCATTATTGGGTGCTATCCATCTAGAAATAGGTATGACCAAGTAAATGTTTTCATCTTTGATGCACACTGACCCATAATAAGGTGCATAATAGTCAAAGTCAGTCAGGTTACCGTATCATGTGAAACCGAACACCCTATAGGAAGAACTAGTTATCCATCACAGTAAAAATACAATTATAATTAACATTTGGCTGCTTTTTTGGTACACAAAATCTGCTGCCTCACTCTGCCTAAGGCTACAGCTCACTGCCCAATTGCCATAAGAATCACATACATTTTAACAAATAACTATCAACAGTATTATGTTCATGCCTTATTCACATTTCAAAGAAATCAACAATGAGCAACATCAAGAGCATTTAAGGCTTTTACATTAAGTCTTCCATAGTACTTGTTGAGGGGCATAGAGTACAGCAATATACATGTGAAACTTCCCATTCTTCTCGGCACTTGCAAAGGACTGTGTTGGTACAACCCAACACCCCATTTTCTTAGGTTTACTTTGGTTCTGCCAACTCCATTCTGTAACCTACGGAGTGACTTCCAAGTCTCCATATGACTGACAGGCTAGACTTTTATGGGTTTCCATCCCTTTTTAAAAAATGGGTATATGCAGAAAGGAAACTTCATTTTGGGAGGCAAAAATCTAAATAAATTATTCAGTGGACAGCCAAGTAGATCTTTTTTACTAACTGTAGCAAAAACAGAACAACTCAAAAATCATATAAACTGTGGTGATATAAATGGGATAATCAACCTTAAGGACAGAAAAAAATAATTGCTATATCTGGATCCTTTAATTGTGAAAAAGGTGGCATAGAAATTTGAATAAATAATAAAAATAACTGAGTCCACTACTAAGGCTGCAATTCAGCTTGATGGTTCAATTCATATACTGAGCAGCTTGATGGTTTAGGCATCTGGCTGCAGAACCAAATTTTGGGAGTTCAATTCCACAATGTGCTTCCTTGACAGGGACTGACTCAATAGGGTAACCTCCAGCTCTGGAGTTCTAAGATTATGAGTATGGTAACACACAGCAAGAAAATATAGTTTGATCCACTGTGATCCACTGTTTTTCAAATCAAGTTTCTGCAGCTGAAATTACTATAACTATCCAAACAACAAACAATTTGCAGGAGCCAGCAGGAGCAAAGGCAAAGAGCTGTACCTGAATGGCACTCCAGTAGCAGAAACTGGCATTGACAAGGTGCTATTTGGCAGTCTGACAAGATAACTGGCAATATTCACCTCTCTTTTTTCAAAGATTTTTTTTTTAAAAAGTGACCCAGCAATACCCTGTTCCAGGAATAACCTGAAAACCTTTTCAAGGGAGTTGACAGCCCTGCAAGTGCCCCTTTGCCTTCAAGTCTGGTAATCACACACAGGAGAAAGCAGAGAAAAGCAATGCCAGCCAATCAGAGCAAATTTAAACTGCTGCCAGCTGCCAGCTGGCAAGAACAAGACAATTCATCACTGAAAAGAGATTATCCTTTCCCTGCATTGAACTTTATGTTGGGTAGTCACTGGTCTTAATTCAAATCCATCTGTGCCCAATCTTATGTGGAATAAATGGCCAATGAGTTTGCCCCCTACAACAAGTACATCCATTTTTTTATATTGTTTGCTTTAAAAATACCGCCTTAAATTTTTTGAGGTGGAACAGCATGACTGGAAAAAGTAAAACTAAAATAGACACAGAAGAAAGAGGATACATAAGTAAACAGCATTTCTGGAAGAGAGAAACAAGAATGTAACAAGAATGAAGCGTATATCCATCATTCTTTTTCCATTGAACTATTAGCCTATATGGTTTTAATTATTCTTTTAAGTTGGATCTATATAACAGAGAAAGCTGATTTAAAAGTGTAAATGTAATTTATGCATCACAGCTCTTCTCAGTGGTTGATTCATATCTGAATGTTATTTCTAGTGCAGGACAAGCACTATGTGTGTTTTTATCGGAAAAAATAATGTTAAAATTGTTAATATTAAGTGTTTACAAGATGTGTGTGGATAGTATTAGGCTCTGGAGACATATTATTATATTCCCAGAACACACACATTTCCTGTACAGGTATCGGTTGAACTTATTTTTAAACAATTGACAGCAAAGAATGGTCTGTATCAATTACTGGTTCATTACATTATTTATTCCATTATTTTATCTTCAAACTACATTCAGGTAATGTTTATAAAGGACCTTGTTCCTATTAATTGAACATTTTAATTATTCTGTTATAACGTGTCAATGAAAAAAGGTGAAATATTTCCAGACAAAGGGTTCCTACTGCTAACAATCCAAAGGCATTGTTTTGCTATCTGGTACTAATTCAACAGATTTTTTTCTGGTTGTAAAAGAGAGAGATGAAGCAGTGGGGAGTGGAAACAATACACATTGATGTTTCCCATGAATGATGTACTTGCACATAGAAGCCATGGCTGGAACTATTTGTGCACCTCACTACAATTTCATGGTAACAGATGTCCATCATTAAGATGGGACTTTTTCCTGCTCCCCATCATCTCTCTGAGTCATCCAAAACTCTGCTCTAGCTATCTGTTCCACATTTTGAAACATATGGGGAAAGCAGGCAGGAAGGAAAATTGTCCTCCTTCCAGTTCTGCTGTACTTACCAGTCTTTATCCTCACCCAGGTTTTTTTTTAGCATGTATTTATTTAAATATTGCAGAACAGCCATTTGTTTTGTTATGGAGACTAGACTCATGAAAAGATTAATCCAGGTAGATCTTAAGTTGAAATACTCAGTTGTCCTCTCTGATCCCCTTTCAATCTTTTCCACATTTTGAATCTTCTTCAAGCTGTTTGCATATCTATTGTGGACTAAGCCTATAGTGCAAGGTTACACACTAACCACAAATGTGCTGCTTTAAATTACACATGTTTTCTGTCCCCTTTTTGGCAGTAGTACCACACAGATAGGACCTTTTGGAGGCCATTATTCATAGGATGGCTTAAACTAGAAATTTAACAGCACATAATATCCACTGATATTTACATTCAGTTTAGGTCCTTTTACAGTGTGTGATTTTTTTTCTGTATTTGGTTGCTCTTTTGCTATGTGTTGTATTTTGTTTAGGAATTGTGTACTGTACAACCCACAGATGCACACCTCACAAGATCATAACCTATGAAGAACATGCTTCATACATTATGGAAAGTATTCTAAATTATGAGTGCAAGATGACAAATAGAGGCAAGGAAGGCAAACAAATCCTTCTGATACTTGTTTTGCAAACTGCCAACGCAATGTCCATAATACGAAACAACAGATACCACCAGCATTTGGTCTCTGTAGCTAAAGAGGAATGAAATAGGGACAGAATATTGCCAGCAGCTCATGGCATTCTTGCAGCAACAGAAAACTGATTGGTTGTTGTGGGGTTGTCGGGCTCTTTGGCCATGTTCTGAAAAACCCACAACAACCATTAGATCCCGGCCGTGAAAGCCTTCGTGACTACACAGAAAACTGATTGCCGAAAGGCAGGCAGCAGACCGATAAAGGTGTTGCAGGAGGGCAGGAATTCAATATCCTGGATTGAGTAGGCTAATAAGAGTGAGATGTGTCCTTAGTTTGTTTCTAGCAAAGAGAATTTGAAGTGTGGCCTGGGTGAACAGAGGAGAGCATGATAAAAGACCTGGAATCTTTCCTGGAGTGCCTGACACCCTCAGGCTCTTTCTTCCTGACTGAAAGTCCTTTCATTTTCCCATCCTCATATCCTCTTCAGTCTTTTAGACTGCCCTGAGAATGTGCTATTTACACACATATTCATTCACAGTCTCTTCATGTGGACTGTTGCAGAGCACATGCTCAATATAACTAGCATTCTAATCATGTTCTAAAGGGCTTATGACCACAGTAGGTATCTAAAGTGGTGACCATAGAACATATGCCAAGAATCTTGTCTCCTATTCCTCAACTGTCAACACATGTCTTTATTAAAACATATCTGCAAACATTAGGGTTTGCTTGTTTGTTTGCTTCTATCAAAGTACAATTTTTACTGGAAGACACATACTTGCCAAAAAATTTTTTTTGACATTGTTAAAATTTCTCATAAACATTTTCTATGGAGGGAGCTTTGTTTTTGTGGTGATGTTAGTAAGCAGATATCACTTGACCTTTCCTTAGATGTGCAGTAGATGAAAAAAAATCTTGGATAAAAGCTAATATCTATATGTGTGTTTTTAATCTGAGAATGTTAGTAGCAGTTTTATATTTGAATAATTTAATTGAAAGTATAAAAAACCCAGTAGGTTCTACAAAATATATTTAGAAATGATACAACTACATGAATGCAGTGCCTTGAATGCTTCTGCGCTAAATATATCCAAGGAGATGAGTAAGAATTATGCTAGCAATCAACGAACTTTGCCAAACAATGCTTTGCCAGAAATCTTCGACATGTGGCAGAGGAGGTGTTAGTCCTGGGCTACGCTGAGCAGACCTTATAAAAGAGTTCCTTGGACTTGCCTTGTCTTCGAACTGCCTGCAGTTTGCACACAAATTCAAGGTAAGTCATGCAGAGTCACAGAGAAGACTCAGAGGCCTGGAAGTCTACACACATCTGGGCCACTCTGTAACCTCTGGAACATATTTATACATGGATATTCATAGCACTGAAACTCATGCATGGACATTCAGACTCATTTATAAATGCATAATCTTTTATACATAATATTCTAATAACTAGGAAAAGTACAATAATTTCCACTTTTTCTCAATTTTCTTTGGAATGGTTCGGAAGTAATATTTATTTATTTATTCATTTATTTCAAGCAGTGCTGGATAGCCTCAAGCCTCATATAAATTTATTCATTCATTCATTCATTTATTTCAAGCAGTGCTGGACAGCCTCAAGCTTCATATATCTTCTCTTATAAGGTAAGATCTAACTATATTAATTCCCAGATCATAGCTGAAACCTGTCATATTAACGTCTTGGAAAATGTTTACTTGGAATTATCACCTTAAAAACACTTGTTATCTATATGAAAAATAAGCTGGAAACTGGAATTTCAGCATTTATAGAATTAGCAAATGGAAAAATTGGAAAGTAAACAAGTACATTTAAAGGCTGAAATTTCCAATTAGATATATGAAATAATAAATAAGCAAATAAGCTGATAGTGCAATACTTTATGAGAAGCAGAAATACTGACTGCATTTCAGAGCTGAACCTGAAGCCATTGACTGCTACATCTACAAAAGCCTTCTAAATGATGCTTCGCTTTTACCCGTGTAAAACAACACAGCAGATTACAAGCTCATTACAAGCTCACAGAATTCACAGGGATATGGATTCACATTTATATCAGATTAAATTCACAGAATTTAATCTGATATAAATATCGATTTACTTACAATTTATCATACAATCTTTTGATTGGCAGTGGCTCTCTATAGTGTCAAGTGAGGCCCTCCCAATAATCTGTCGCTAGTCTTTTCATAGGAGGCGGTTTGTTGCTTACAAAGGATATGCTCTACCTCTGAGCTGCTGTTTCTTCCCAGAGCTACACAATCAGTGCCCAGTGCATTGTATGGAAATGAAGTGATAGGATATTGATAAAATTACATTTTATATAATTACATATATAATTATATAAAATTACAGAACTTACCATGAGAAATTTGCTCTAAGAGGCAAATTTCCAAAAATATGTGGTTTTCAGTGACTAGAAAACATCATTCAGAAGGGGGAACTGAAAGGAACATGGCTCATGGAGAAGAAATCCAAACTGCACCTCACAAGAGATTAGTGTGCTTTCAGAGATGCAACCTAAGTTATTCCCATTCTTTCCAGTGAAGAGATTTGCTAATTATTGATTTGTTTGTGTATGGAATCAGATTTTTCTCATTTATTTATTTATTTATTTATTTATTTATTTATTTATTTATTTATTTATTTATTTATTTATTTATTTATTTATTTATTTAATATGCCGCCCACACTACCCAAAATTACGCAGTAGGCATCATTCTCTATTAAGAAGCATTTTGTCCTCTAAAGGATATCTTCTTCTAAAGGACAGAAGTAGTTTCTATTAGAAGAGAAGTATGGATACAAGTCAGAGAATCGTTATGCTCATCACCAGACATTATAAAAGGCTAGTGGAAGGTCGCAAAAGAAAAGTTTTCATCAATCTAACCACCTCTCAAAACATTTTTTTTCATTTAGGGTTCATTGAGGTGGTGCATCCTATAAATATATAAATGTTTAGAATACAATTTGAGATATTATACATGGTAACAGTTTAAAATTGGGATCTTTGTGTGATTTCTTCTTCTTTTTCCCTACACCAGTGTTATCAGAAACTGCAGCCATGTCGTCAGATGCTGAGATGGCAGTCTATGGGCCAGCTGCCCCTTTTCTCAGAAAGCCAGAAAAGGAAAGGATTGAAGCCCAAAATAAGCCTTTTGATGCCAAGAACTCAGTCTTTGTGGTGCATGCTAAGGAATCCTATGTCAAAGGCACTCTTCAAAGCAAGGAAGGAGGGAAGGCCACAGTCAAGACTGAAAAAGGAGAAGTGAGTAGAAGGAAAGAAATAAACTGCAAAAAAATTGTCTTGTATGACTGTATAGGTATGCATCAGAAGCAATTTGACAGGAGAAAACAAAATTAATAATTATATCAACCAGCCTATTCTTTCCTTTCCAGAGTCTGACTGTAAAGGAAGACCAAACCTTTCCTATGAACCCTCCTAAATTTGATAAAATTGAGGACATGGCCATGCTGACCCATCTCCATGAACCTGCTGTCCTGTATAACCTCAAAGAGCGTTATGCAGCCTGGATGATTTATGTAAGATCATTACCTGTCTTCTGTTTTTTGCTTTCTGCCAATTAACTCTTATAGTATTAAATTTATAATTTTTTATTTTTATTAATCAAGAGTTGTGTAACAGTATATAATGCTCTCTTGCTGTGTCCTCAATATGTATTATCAGACACACAGAATTTGAATTTATCATTTTCACGCTTTTCATATAAAGAAGTGATACTTTTGTCTTCAGTACAAAGAAAAAGGATACTACTTTTTTACAAGTACTTCTGAAAGTACTCAAAGATTTATATATAAGTAGACTTTAAAGATGATGGAGAAGTTCCATCTTCTGCATTTTTCTTGGGCAATAGTGAATGAACACCGTCCCTAAATAAACATATTTAGGTAGTAAATACATTTCTCTAACACAATAATCATAAAACACATTCTGAAGAATTTGTGACACTCTGCATTCTGTCCCTAGATTGTGCGTTAGATGAAGCATAATCAAGGAGTTCTAGTCTCCATTAACTGCATAGACTGGAATGCATAGCACTATGAAAGATTCAACAAATAGCCTGAGCTAAATCAATAATTATATCTATATCTATATCTATATCTATATCTATATCTATATCTATATCTATATCTATATCTATATCTATATCTATACAGTGGGGTCTTGACTTGAGAACTTAATCCGTATTGGAAGGCGGTTCTCAAGTCAAAAAGTTCTCAAGTCAAATCTGCATTTCCCATAGGAATGCATTGAAAACCATTTGATCTGTATCTGCTCTTTTCCGTCCATAGAAACGAATGGGAAGCTGCTATTCCGCCTTCGGCCACTAGAGGGGGATATTTTGTTTCTTTTTTTCTTAGGTCAAGAAAGGTTCAGGGAAGGCAGGGAAAATACAGTCCAGGCAGTACCAGGCAGTCCGAAGACTGTCTCCCAATCCACTCTCTAGACACTGGGAGGAGTGAGGAAGCAGACAGGCACCCTTTTCACTGGCCAACAGTTAAATGAAAGTTCAAATTTTGCACTTTCCCTGCCTCCCACGTGGTTTTTTTTCAGTTCTTAACTCAAATCTAAGTATGTAAGTCAAGTCAATATTTTCCTATGAGAGCGGTTCTTAAGTCAAAATGTTCTTAACTCAAGCCGTTCTTAAGTCAAGACCCCACTGTATCTATATCAATCAATCAATCAATCAATCAATCAATCAATCAATCAATCAATCTATCTATCTATCTATCTATCTATCTATCTATCTATCTATCTATCTATCTATATTATACTCATACAGTTTTAGTTTGGTAGAAACATAGAGTTTGATCAAGAATCCCACTGTATATCCTCCCATTATATCACCATATACATTCTTCAATATTTCATTCACAGGGGCTTGCACAAAAACAGCTACACATGACTAACTACTTACCGTACTTGTAATTAATTCCTTAGAAATCATAGAAAAGTGAAGTTGGAAGGGGCCTACAAGGCCATCAAGCAAACCCCCTGCTCAACGCAGGAATACAGTCAAAGCATCTTCAATTATAAAGATAGTACTAGTTTTAACATGATGAAATATAACTTTATTGCTTTTACTATGTAACTGCCACTTTTTGTTATGGGGTGTAGCTTCTGTAAATGTTGGAAGAAGAATATTATATGACATTGGTTCGTGTTATATTTCATGCTGCTGCTGCTGCTGTATGCTTTGTAGTAGGAATCGAGGTGACAATGAGATGAGTGGGTGGAGAGCCTTGTTTTCAACCATAGGCTTGTAGCATTCAGACTTTTTTTTACCTTAAAAGGCATTTCTTAGAAAGAGGTAGTGTACAGAGTTGCTTTTTTGAAATTACAGCTCTAACAATAATTGCTGGGATTTTAATGGTAACTAATTGCTTTTAAAAAGTAACTTTTCAAGCTCTTGCTTTCATTCCCTACTTTTCCTCTCATTTTCCATCAGTACCTTGCAATGCTCCCCTACCATCACACAAGTTCCTCCCAACCCCACTCACACTTTTAATTCACACTGCACAACTTCTGCCCCATCAAGTGCTTGGGTGCATCCCAATTCACATTCACTGCATCCAATTCACATTCCTTCACTTCAGCTCTTTTGTTTCAGTCTCTCTATTCCTGTAGTATTTCCTTCCCTTGGCCAGTCCTCTCTTCCAGATGCTCTGCCTCAGTGTGCAGGCTCCCCTCTCTTTTCACATGCAGCCGAAAATTAAGTTGCACAAGAACTCTCTTTTTTGGCCTATGGGTGATAAGGGATGTGTATTTTGCCATATTAAAAAACCATGGTAACTACAAGTATTCATATTTGAGAGGCAGACAAAATGCTTGACACAGACATCATGCCTATATTCTCTGGTGAATAGGAACGGGTGGCTTTTCTATATCCAGATTTGCCCTTTCCTCTTCAAACAGACTGCAGTCTCATTTCTCACCAGGATCTGACAAACAGCAAAAATTCCAAAAAGGCTGTTAAGATTTCATTATACATTCACATGGTCCCTCCTCTGAAAATACTTGTTTAATACTTGCAATTTTTAAGGAGGGAATGCCTTCAATTTTGAGGAATCCAAAATCTGTCAAATTGTCAACTGAAATTTTGGAAGCCTACCAAACTAAGAATTCCAAGATTTCAGTTTTATTCCTTGCCATTTGTAATTTATGTTTGCCAAGGATTATGCTTATCTGAAAATGTTTAGAATATTGTATTTCCCACCCCCAATCTTCTTTTAAATCCCTAGTTTTCTCATGCAGATATAGGAGCTTAAATATCTTTTAGTAGCAAATGAGAAAGATAACACTGTTTATGTATGCGTGAATACCAGTGGACAAATCAAGCTAGCTTTCTCATTGTTTTTACAGACTTACTCAGGTCTCTTCTGTGTTACTGTCAATCCTTACAAGTGGCTGCCAGTGTACAACCCAGAAGTTGTAGGTGGTTATAGAGGCAAGAAGCGTCAAGAGGCTCCTCCTCACATCTTTTCAATTTCTGATAATGCATATCAGTTCATGTTAACTGGTGAGTAGATGCATGGTGTTTGAAAAACAATACAGTTGCTCCCTACAGAGAACCTCAATGTCCTTCCAAAGACATAGTAATAGCCAATTAGTTGTGATGCTGAGGTGGCTTTAAAAGATCAGTTTGTTGTTTGTTTTTTGAATGGAAATGCCTGCAGCTAAACCATGAATTAGAATGTAAAAAGAGCCCTGCTGGATCAGGCCAAGGGCCCATCTAGTCCAGCTTCCTGTATCTCACAGTGGCCCCAGGAGACAACTAGATGTACCTGTCTCCTGATACCCCTCCCCTGAATCTGGCATTTTGAAGGACCTTCCTTTTAAGCCTGGAGATTACATAATAGATACAGTATGTATGACAGGATACTTGGGGGCTCAAATTTCTGTGATTTTGATTATAGGACCTTACTTTGTCTTCTCATTTCTTTTCTACTGAGTGTGGACATTATCATGGCTATTCTGAGGTTGAGGGCAGTAGGTCTAAACAATGATGTTGTGCAGTACTTTACTAGTCTTTTTCAGGTTTTTCAGCTAAGATGTTCTCTTCCTTTACTTTTTTCTCATTTATTTTACATTAAATGATCAGCTGTAACTATCTGTACTATTCATTTTAACCCACAATTTTTTTCCATTTTGTGTTTTGCAACTTCCCAATCATAGTTCATTCTCCATATCACTTTTTCAATTGCCATTTTGTAAATCCACAAAATTCTTAACATTGTGCAATGAATCTAAATTTCAAATTCTTATTTTTCAAGATAGCCTGTGTTAAAGTCCATGATTCCATGCTATTCAGTAGAACTGAAAATAAAACCATAGAATGCATATTGTCAAACGCAATTTTTAGTTTTAGTTTCACATTCCATTACTGTCACCTCAAAGAAGTATTTGCAGGCTACCTCAGTTCTAATAGCGCTGCTGCATTTATTCAACCAAATTCCAAAAAGAATGGCTATTTATCAACATGCTTGACATGTTCATCCTGGATCTTTCGTGCATTTCTTGGATTACTTGCTATTTTAATTGACAGAACCCTACCGCCCATATTTCTTTTGACGGATTTGAGGCTTTTAAATAACATAATGATGAAAATCATCTTATGTAGCTAAGCAAGTTAAGAAATCTCTGGGGACATTATCACTTGCATGCTGAATCATACCACTCTGCATGTAATTGATAATGTCTACATTGAAAGCTTTGCCCTCCCAGCCCGGAAATAAAGAGGCGAGACACGGGTTGTTGGGTTAGAACTTGGGCCACAACTTTATACTTTGGCCATCTCATGAGAAGAGAAGACTCCCTTGAAAATACCCTGATGTTGGGAAAATGTGAAGACAAGAGGAGAAGGGGACGACAGAGATCAAGATGGTTGGACAGTGTCATTGAAGCTACCAACATGAATTTGACCAAACCCCGGGAGGCAGTGGAAGACAGGTGGGCCTGGCGTGCTCTGGTCCATGGGGTCACGAAGAGCTGGACATGACTTAACGACTAAACAACAAGAACACAACTTTATTAACTATTTAAACTAATCCTCCAAACTACAAGGGGGCCTGACTACAGGACGATCTCCTTTGCAGACCGGAGTAGCCTATACCTCAGGACAATTCAATAGAGCATGTTGAGCTCCTGTTTCTGAATTGTGCTGTTCGCTGAACAGCACACCTTCAGATGCTGTGTGCTAAGGGTAACCCACCTTCCCAGCCTACCGAGTCTCATGACCCTCAGTGGGCTGCTGTACGGGAGGCTGCCCTATGTAAAACCACCTCTCCTCAGATGCCTGATTGGCTCCACCTGACAGAGAGATGGCCTAATTCTAGGACAACGTGTTAACCATGAACTCACCCCAGCTCTTGTCTTCGCACTACCCGAAGCTGTGATCAATTGACTTTAACTAAAACAAGAAGGTTTATTCTTAACCGCACCCAAGAGTTAAGAATGGGATGGATGAAAACACACCTGCATCCAATGGCCAATCTAGGATACAAACCAAAAATTCTCATCTGGCTCCGATAGGCAACCAGCTAATCTCATTCTTAATTTAGGGTAGATGGGTGGGTTTTCAAGAAAAATGGCAAAGAGTCTTAAAGTGAGGGATCATGCCTTATTAAAGGCTCTGTCCCTCCTTCCCTCGGAAGTGGCATCATTCAACCATGACACCGCTTTCAGGGCAGGAGAGCAAAGCCTCCTCGTCATGATGACTTGGCACCACGGTAGAGCAGTCATTACTTGGGGCAATTTTCCTTCTAAAGATACATTCTGTGTGCTATGCCAGCACAGGAAAGACAATCTGAGTTGACATTTTTAATTCTTTCATATGGTTAATTCGATTTTAAAAATATATATATATATGTAATGGATGGATTAAAATTAACTTTCATATTTTTTAAAAAATCTTTTCAGATCGTGAGAATCAGTCTATTCTGATTACGTAAGTATTCTTTTGTGCCATAAGGCATGCCTCTGCCCTGTTAATACTGCCAAAATAAAGTGCTTGGAAGTAAGTAGCTAGAAAGATATAGTGGGCAAGATCTTGTGTACATTTGCGCAAGCATAACACAAATGAGGTGTCAGAAGCATTTTATTTCTCTAATTAAAAGCGTCCTAACCCCCCTTTTTAGGTTCCAAGGCTCCCTAGGGTTCCACACACACGTATGAAACATGCTGAGGTTCATACACAGACATACAAATTATGGACAGAATAGTTTTACTTATGTCAGCATAAACCAAATGACATAAATCTATTAGTTGCCACTAGTTAATAAATAAATACTTAACATTTCTTTTACACTGATCATGTGTACAATATTTCTTGTGCACCAGACATAGGTATAGTTCATAGAATCATATAAACATGGTCTAGAGGGGCGGGGTAAAAATCAAATAAATAAATAAATAAATAAAATAAATATAATTGTTGAAAGGTTGGAAGAGATCTTGGAGGTCTTCTAGTCCCACACCCACACCGCGCCCAAGGCTGTCCAATATTTTCTTGAAAACCTCCCACGATGGGATGACCACAACATAGAGAGGCAAGCTGTTCCACTGCTTAATGGTTCTCACCTTCAGGAAATTCCTCCTTATTTCCAGTTATGGACTTCTTAACAGCTGCCAATTGTCTAATGAGATTTAAGCTGTTGGCTTAGTAGGCCTCTGGTCCATGAGGCCGCATGAAAGAAGCAAGCTATTAAAAGCATTTCCCAGTCCTAATTGCAGTTCAGGAGAGTTATCTGAAAATCTGTTTTATGATTTCTGATACTTTAATGTATGTATTTCTCCTCAATAATTCCTATGTTAATTCTCCTTTTAATCAATAGTGGAGAATCTGGTGCTGGAAAGACTGTGAACACGAAACGTGTCATTCAGTACTTTGCAACAATTGCAGCTACTGGTGAGAAGAAAAAGGAAGAGCCGACGGCGCAAGGCAAAATGAAGGTAGGCTTTGGGACAGAAAAGGATAAGGTACACATTCGCATATTTTCTATAAGATTAAAGGCAGATAAATTGGCTATGTATTTTCATTGCAGGGCACCCTTGAAGATCAAATCATCAGTGCCAACCCCTTGCTGGAGGCCTTTGGAAATGCCAAGACTGTGAGGAATGACAACTCTTCACGTTTTGTAAGTCTTGTGCAATATCACAAGGGCATTAATCTCTCTTTAGTAAGATTTCAGCTAAGCATGTGCAGCAATTGCCTGTTGGGATTTGCGATGGTGGTAACATGTTGTGACTGCCATCACCCCTACCCAGGGTGGCAATGCTTCTTGCCCACAGGCTTCATGGATTCCAGAATCTCACTGCTTCTGAAACTCACCTTTATTGGTGTAGGAGAACAGGTTACACCATTAGCTTGGACTTCTCGCCCCAGCAGCTTGGAAGTGGCTTAGTTAACTTCACTAGTTGCTTACTATCCTCAGCTGTGGACTAGTTCCTCTCACTGTAGAACCAGAGGCTCCAATCTGTGACTGGGGTTGAGTTGCAGTTCTGAGTCCCATCCTTTAGGGGTAGCTGGTAATGCAGAGCTAATGAAAGTCCCCCAGACCCAGAAGCTCATCCCACTCCTGAGAGATACACAGCAGTTGCTGGGTGTGCCTCTTCATCCACCAGTGATTTTTCTGGGTGGTGGCATATTTGAAGGGTTGGTGTTTGACCAGGAGCTTATGCTAGCATTGCTAGGGCCGAGAAGGAGGAATAGTTGATGCTCCTCTTCTCCTTCCTCTATCTGGGATGAAGGTAACCCATTTGCCCGTGCATACCTTTTAGAGCAGCATCAGCTCCTTCTTGGAGGCCTCTGCCCAGTCCTCTGATTCCATGTCCTTCTAAGGCAACAAGCCTCCCTTGTCAGCTTCCGTAAACGTGGCTCTTACTATCCTGTCCTGGCTCCAGCCTCACCCTCTAAGTGTGGCACATACACCTAAGGACACCCACTTGGGGCTCCATTTCTGCTTTCCAGCTTCAGACCACTCTGTCTTTTCCAAGTAATATGCCAGGGGTGTCAGGCATAGGTGGGCATGCCCACAAACCCACTGGAAACAGACAGAACGTCTTCCTTGTGCAAGTGATGATTTGTCTTTTCTTTCCTGAAAGGGTAAATTCATCAGAATCCATTTTGGTGCCACAGGCAAACTGGCTTCTGCAGACATAGAGACATGTAAGGGATTTTTCTTTAAACATTTCAAATGGTCTTGTCTTCCTTCTTTCTTCCTTGGCTAATTATATTGCATTTCTTTGCTAGATCTGCTAGAAAAGTCCAGAGTCACTTTCCAGCTAAAAGCTGAAAGAAGCTACCACATCTTTTATCAGATCATGTCCAACAAGAGGCCAGAACTGATTGGTAAGAACTAGCATCTGTTTTACTCCTGGTGGCTGGGGCAGTGACAATGTTGCATTCTGCTGAGCTTGCTAATATTTTCTCTTAACACTGTGACTGCACGCTTGATAGCAGAAAATGCATATCTATCCTTCTTATTCAGAGATGCTCCTGATCACCACCAACCCCTATGACTTTCACTTTGTGAGTCAGGGTGAGATCACCGTTCCTAGCATCAATGATCAAGAAGAGCTGATGGCAACCGATGTAAGTCATTTGGTAGTAACACTCCTATTTGGCCATGTCATTCTCTTTCCCCAAACCTGTATAATAATGAGGCAGGAAAGAATTTTAACTGAACCATATTAAAAGAGAATTTTCCAATTGTTCCATCAGTCATCAAAGAAAGAACCTGAGATTAAAAGAACACTGAGTGTGGGAGAATGCAAAATGGACAGTTTCATCCAGTCCTACAACATCACCTAGCATAATTCAGAACAATGGTGCTGACAAGGAACAAGTGGCATCATTGGTGGACAATGGGGGACTGCCATTCGCCACCAAAGTGGCACTAAATCAAGTTATTATTACAAAGAGACCCTTTGGAGGAAAATCAGAGGCCACTAATGATGAAAGAATCCTTCATATTCTCTGCCTTCAAGTGAAACAACAGATTTAAAGATGCAGTTATGGATCAGAATGAGAATTTTAACTACTAATGTGATTTGCAGGAAGCCATTGACATCCTGGGTTTCACTGCTGAGGAGAAGACAGCCATTTACAAGTTGACTGGGGCTGTGATGCACTATGGAAACATGAAGTTCAAGCAGAAGCAGCGTGAGGAGCAGGCTGAGCCAGACGGCACAGAAGGTGTTTGCAAAATTCACTACGAATCTTTTGATATTGCATGGAAACTTTATGCACTAACCTGTCATATGACGACATTTTAAAAAAAATATTAAGTCGTAAGAGGAAATAATGTGGATATAATAATATTCAAGATATTGTTATCTTCCATTTTAAATACTTTTAAAGAAATACATAAGGGTTTATTTTATTCAACATTTGACTGAGAATCTGGTATGTCATTATGAAAATATAGAATGAATTAGAAATGAACCTGAGATTTGGGTAGTCTTGTAGTTTAATGTTTTGGATAAGTTGGATCTGTTTGAACGCAGGCAAGGTATCATTTTGGTCATCTATAAAATTGAGCAACTTGGTCTTTCTAATACGCATTGCTAAGCCTTTTTTCTCATTTCTTTGCTCAGTTGCTGACAAGGCTGCCTACCTCATGAACCTCAATTCAGCAGATCTCCTGAAAGCTCTGTGCTATCCCCGTGTCAAGGTCGGCAATGAGTATGTCACCAAAGGCCAAACTGTCCAGCAGGTAACTATCAAATAAATACTGTAAAACTTGTTTTACAGAGTAAATGTGACAGTTTAGTGGTGGCTTGCTCATCTGCTTGACATGCTAATTCCAGGTTTTGTATCCTGTTATTCTAGGTGTACAATAATGTTGGTGCTTTGGCTAAAGCTGTCTTTGAGAAGATGTTCTTGTGGATGGTTGTTCGTATCAACCAGCAACTGGATACTAAACAGCCAAGGCAGTACTTCATTGGTGTACTGGACATTGCTGGCTTCGAGATCTTTGATGTAAGAGAATAGAATGGAAAAGGGAGCTGCTCCCTGCCCATTTCTCCCCTAGTTCAGATCTCTTAGATTATCTTTTTCTGAAATGTCTGTCTTCAAGGATTAATATAATTTATAACGCTTCATTTCTTTTCTTTCAAGATTATTCACATATTTTAAAACATATTTGTATATGGAATGGGTAAACATTCTTTTCATTCAGGCCATCAGATTTATACAGACCTATACCTACAGATAAAAACAGGCCAGTTATCATGAAGCATGTACAAACTAGAATTAAGGGTGAACAACACTGGGGTTTTGTTTTTGTTTAACTCTCACTTTATTTTTCTAGTATAACAGCCTGGAGCAGCTTTGCATCAACTTTACAAATGAGAAACTGCAACAGTTCTTCAACCACCACATGTTTGTGCTGGAACAAGAGGAGTACAAGAAAGAAGGAATTGAATGGGAGTTCATTGACTTTGGAATGGACTTGGCTGCCTGCATTGAACTCATTGAGAAGGTTTTATCTAAAAATAAGTTTGACTATTCTTGCATGCCATTTTATTATCTTCCTTATAATTGGGAAAGTTGTACCCATGCTTTGAATAGCAATGAAACATTCTTGTGTTTTATTCCTTGGGAAATACAAATGTAGTAAAGCTGTACAGATAGGCAAGACTACTTTAGGAAGAAATCACTCATACAAATACATGCAAGTACGCTCTACTGAAACCACTGGAATGTATTACTAAGGATATGTAGTTAACATTCTAAATAATATTTCTTTAAAAATACTTTAATCAGACATTTGTATATTCTTCTGAATTCTCTCCCAGACAAAGATAATTTTGTCATACTTTTCAACGGCTGTGTTTGGGTCCATCTAAATTGGGTCCCATTCAACAGTTTCCGTCTGCCAACAGATCTGTCTGTGAAACATACTCCCTTCCTGTCTGCTGCCACTATTCCTGTGAGACACACAAAATGTTCTCTGGAGGATCAGGTTACACACATTTCGCCAGCAAATGTAGAGGGATTTAACTTCTGTCTCCCGCAATGCCAGGATGAATTAAGAAGTTTCCCAGTTCATAAAAAATACATATGTGTACAAGTTGGAGAGAGAAACAAATGGTTTAGTACTGAACAAGCAAATATACTACTTGTTCACAAAAATATATTCCACATTTCAAGCTGGGTCTCTCAAGTGTTTTGCTGTGTATATATAAAGTTATAGAAATTATTTTCTAATCAATCAATGAACCAATCCAGACACTTCTTTCTTCAGTCAGCAGCATTTCTTCATATGTAATATCTATACACATGATACTTTTTAAATATACAGTAATGATAATGATATGCCAGTTGTTTGAAACAATATATTATGGATCAGTCACAAATACTAGAATTATTTAACATATTCCATTTCCGCATGAGCAATAAGCTCCCTCTTTTCCTCTGTTTCCTACAGCCCATGGGCATTTTCTCCATCCTGGAAGAAGAGTGCATGTTCCCCAAGGCAACAGACACTTCTTTCAAGAACAAGCTCTATGACCAGCATCTTGGCAAATCTGCCAATTTCCAGAAACCCAAGCCTGCCAAAGGCAAGGCTGAGGCTCACTTCGCTCTGGTGCATTATGCCGGCACTGTGGACTACAACATCAGTGGCTGGCTGGACAAGAACAAGGATCCCCTGAATGAAACTGTTGTGGGGCTCTACCAAAAGTCTTCCATGAAGACCTTGGCCTTACTGTTTGCTGATCGTCCTGCAGAAGGTAATTTCCATAATTTTAAACATATTCATGAACACAATCCTGAAGAGGAACCTAGGTTCAGCAGCAATCCCTGCTACTGCCACGGCTGTTATGACCAGCCTCACTGTCCTTTATTCAGAATGATAAGGTACTTTGACTAATTTCTCAGGTGGGTCTATCTAGTTGAAAAGCAGCCAACTTCACTTCTTTTTTGTTCTCTAAATCAGGAGTCACTTAGGAACAAAACAAAGGGACTTTAGACTTTGGGTGTACTTCATATGTTGACTGAGCAAAATTCAATGCGGGTTGTGGCTCAAGAAATGACATGCAGAAAGTGGTTCATGATCTTGAGCCTACCTATCTTCAGTCACCACATACCTTGAAAAGTTTAAATCAGAAATTTCTCACATCTTGATTTTTTAAAAAAATTAAACCCCATTATGTCAGGATTTGCAGCTTCTCTTTTTTTCTGGAAAATACTGTGTCCTAAATATTAGCATACGACTGTCCTTTATGTTTTAAATGAACCTTCCTTCATAGTCAGCCACTGCAGATTTCATTTTATGATCTCCCACAAGAATAATGAACCTCCGATAGTTAGAGTGAAAATAGTGAGCTATTGACAGTGTAAGAAGTACTTGGCATATGCAGCTTTATGTGAGATAATGTCATAAGATCCTTGTTGTATTGGGGTTAACTGTAACTTTTTTTTAATTCAGAGGGTGCCAAGAAGGGTGGCAAGAAGAAGGGTTCTTCCTTCCAGACGGTCTCTGCACTTTTCAGGGTAAAGTAAAATCGTCACCTAAGTCATCACATCTCTGAGGGAGAAAAACAGTTTTCCAGTTTGACAACTACAGAGTAACAACACGCTTCTGAGTACAAGCTCATTATAAGCTACAGGGCAAAACTTTAGGTAGCTCATTGGGAATATGCTTTGTACATGGAAAAGCCAAGTACTAATTCCTGCTAGGGTTTGGAAAAAACTGTTGCTATTTGGTTCACTGTAGATAATCAGCAAAATTTACAAATACACTAGTCTGAATTGGAATATGATAACACCTTATGCCTTTTGCTATAGACAGATAGAGACATGAATACTAGCATGAATCAATTACAAGGACCCTTGTAATCAGAATCGTGCAGTTTATTAATTAGACAAAGTTGCCCAAAAAGCCGATTGAAAATGCTAGAAAGCCTCCATGTTTGAGTCTAGTTCTTAAGAGAAAATGTGAATCCAATGGTGCAACATGTATTGTGGTTTTTTTAAATTCATATAAAAATATGGTTCAGTGAAATTTTCATATAATTATCCAAAGTCTTTTTAACAATCAACAAACATTTAGAAGTTTTATGTATCTATCTGTCTTCTAGATGTTTGTGAGATCTGTATCTACATGTGTATCTGTATCTCTAGTGTCAAACATTTAGGAGAGCAGGGGGAAGGGGGGAAGGAGATGGAGAGAGAGAATCTGAATGGGATGTATCAACCAGATCTTAATTTCTGATACCACAGGAGAATTTGAACAAGCTGATGACTAATCTTAGGAGTACCCATCCACATTTTGTGCGCTGCCTCATCCCCAATGAAACTAAAACCCCTGGTGAGCTACAGAGTTATACTTTGATTTTAAAAAATTTCACCCATTAATTGAATATACTGACTATCCATATTCCCCCTGATTTTCTCAGGTGCCATGGAACATGAGCTTGTGCTGCATCAGCTGAGGTGTAATGGTGTGCTGGAAGGTATCCGAATTTGCAGGAAGGGATTCCCCAGCAGGATCCTTTATGCTGACTTCAAACAGAGGTTGGTAGATCCCATATTACTAGAGTATTCAAGTTAACTGTGGTTCTGAGTTCTCCTGAAACATCATTAGTTCTTAGAATACAGCTTCTATTATTGTATCATTGCACTTGATTAACAGCTATATTGTAAAAAACTTAGGAGATTTTAACACTGCTTCCTTTAACAGATACAGAGTTTTAAATGCAAGTGCCATCCCAGAGGGACAGTTCATGGATAGCAAGAAGGCTTCTGAGAAGCTTCTTGGCTCCATTGATGTCGATCATACTCAATATAAATTTGGTCACACCAAGGTAAAATTACTCTCTGGCACATGATTATACCATCTGAGCTTGTTGGTACAGGTGGCAATACTTTAATACACTTTCTTTTTTCTTTTTCAGGTGTTCTTCAAAGCTGGCCTTCTGGGTACTCTAGAGGAGATGAGAGATGACAAGTTGGCACAGCTGATAACGCGTACTCAGGCTCTCTGTCGTGGCTACTTGGCAAGAACAGAGTTCCAGAAAATGATGGAACGGAGGTAGAGCTTTGACACCAATAATTTGTTGTTATTGTTTAGTCGTTTAGTCGTGTCCAACTCGTCATGACCCCAAGGACTAGAGCACGCCAGGCCCTCCTGTCTTCCACTGCTCCCAGAGTTTGGTCAGATTCATGTTCGTAGCTTCGAAAATAGGATAGTGCAAAAATCAAAACCAAATTCACATAACTGTACACCTTACTGTTAATTTAGGAAACAAAGCACTATTCAATGTCATACTTTGACCTGAAGGCCTATGCAACACAGTATCTTAGAGTCTCATACTGTATGTTCTTGTGAACTGTCCCACAGGCAAATCTGATTTTTGCAACTGAACAAAGTTGATCACTTAATCAGAGAACTTGGGTAGTTTACTAGAGTCTCAAAATAATAAAACGTAAGAATAGAGCAAACTGAAAAAATCTGAACTGCACTGAGTTTATTTTGAAATGGGAAAGGCAATTTGTTTTGCTTTCTTTGTTTTCTTTACCCCAAAGAGAGTCCATCTTTACTATTCAGTACAATGTCCGCTCATTCATGAATGTGAAGCACTGGCCCTGGATGAAGCTGTATTTCAAGATAAAGCCTCTGCTGAAGAGTGCTGAATCAGAGAAAGAAATGGCCAGCATGAAGGAAGAGTTTGAAAAAACAAAAGAAAATCTTGCCAAGACAGAGGCCAAATTAAAGGAAATTGAAGAAAAAATGGTGTCTCTGATGCAAGAGAAGAATGACTTGCAGCTCCAAGTCCAGTCTGTAAGCATATTTCGTCACATCATTTTTGCTCTACTGACATTATGCCTCATATCATTATCTTTCTGGAATTGAAAGGTGGCTGAGGAAAACTCAGTATAGTTATTTGGGATAATCAGACTGCATCTTTAATTTATGGGTATATACAATGAATGTCAAAATTTATACTGGGCTAATACCTTTATCACCTAGCCCTTAATATTATGCCAGTTACTTTTCCTTGGATATTGCTGTCAGTTCTCTAGTTCTTTAAACAGAATTAATTATAGGAAAACAACACAACTTTTCCCTCTATAGGAAGCTGATGCCACAGCAGATGCTGAGGAGAGATGCGACCAGCTGATCAAAACCAAAATTCAGCTGGAAGCTAAAATTAAGGAGCTGACTGAACGGGCAGAAGATGAAGAGGAAATGAATGCTGAGCTGACAGCCAAAAAGAGGAAACTGGAGGATGAGTGCTCAGAACTGAAGAAAGACATTGATGACCTTGAGTTGACCCTGGCCAAGGTTGAAAAGGAGAAGCATGCCACAGAAAACAAGGTACACTTAGTTTGACAAAAACTTGCCTAATGTTAAATTGGACTTGGATGTCAGATTTACTTATTCTAGAGAAGCATGCCACAGAAAACAAGGTACACTTAGTTTGACAAAAACTTGCCTAATGTTAAATTGGACTTGGATGTCAGATTTACTTATTCTATTCTAAAAGGTCAAAAACCTCACAGAAGAGATGGCCGTCTTGGATGAGAACATTGCCAAACTGACCAAGGAAAAGAAAGCCCTTCAAGAGGCCCATCAGCAGACCTTGGACGACTTGCAGGCAGAAGAAGACAAAGTGAATACTCTGACCAAAGCAAAGACCAAGCTGGAGCAGCAAGTGGATGATGTGAGTGAAACAACACAGAGAAGTACAGTTCTGAGGTAAAGCATTAGAGCAGCAAAATATTTATCATCTCTTTCTCTTCAGCTTGAAGGGTCTTTGGAACAAGAGAAGAAGCTTCGTATGGACCTTGAAAGAGCCAAGAGGAAGCTTGAAGGCGATCTGAAGTTAGCCCAGGAATCCACAATGGACTTGGAAAATGATAAGCAGCAGCTGGATGAGAAGCTTAAGAAGTAAGTAGCATGTTCTGTAGAAGAGCTCTCAGGAAGTTACCCTGATACACATCCCTCTTAGCATTTCACCTGGAAAATAACACTTGATATCTTCTTGCATAAAGGAAAGATTTTGAGATCAGCCAGCTCCAAAGCAAAATTGAAGATGAGCAGGCCTTGGGTGCCCAGCTTCAGAAGAAGATCAAAGAGTTGCAGGCAAGTCAAGCTCCCTTGTGAGTCAATGAATCCGTTCATCTCGGAAAACATTTTGACTCTAAATGGCTACTTTTCTCCTTTTAGGCTCGTATAGAGGAACTGGAGGAAGAGATTGAGGCAGAGCGTGCATCTCGGGCCAAAGCAGAGAAGCAGCGGGCTGACCTCTCCAGGGAACTGGAGGAAATCAGTGAGCGTCTGGAGGAAGCTGGTGGGGCAACAGCAGCTCAGATCGAGATGAACAAGAAGCGTGAGGCTGAATTCCAGAAAATGCGCCGCGACCTTGAAGAGTCAACTCTGCAGCATGAAGCCACTGCCTCTGCCCTCCGCAAGAAGCACGCAGACACTGTAGCAGAACTTGGGGAACAAATAGATAACCTTCAGCGAGTGAAACAGAAGCTGGAGAAAGAGAAGAGTGAGCTGAAGATGGAGATTGATGACCTTGCTAGCAACATGGAGTCTGTCTCCAAAGCTAAGGCATGTTATAGCCATTTATGTTATGTTTTAGTACCACTAGTTAAAAGCACAGATCACAAAAAAAATTCGTAACTCTATTAGTTTATTTATCAACAGAGATACATAAGCGACTTATAAATACCTATGTACTTCCTTCAGATGACTGATATAAACACAGTTGCCAGGATAGTTTTAAAAATGTGCATACTATGCTGAAAAGTATTTTTATAGAGCTATACAATACTTTTGATTCATATATTATTTAAGAATAAAATCTCCATATATTAAACCACTAATTAGATATTTCCTCTATGAATATTAGGATAGTGTGCCATGAATATGACAGTAGCAAAATGCATTTTAGGGTCTGTAGGATGCACTCACAAAGACACTGACTCAATATTTTAACAAACAAAGAATAACTGCCTCGGGGATGTTATAATAAATGAGATAAATGGTTTATACACTTGCTAGAAGCGGATGATATAAGCCTGGCAATGAGGAGGAGGTAACTATATTCAGACAACACAATAAGCAAACCACACAGCAAATCTCTAATTTATTTGGCATCTTCCACAATAAGTTCAGTGATCACGGGATATAAATAAAATAAATAAATAAATAAATATAACAGCTTGGTGGCCTCTATGTGACAAGCCAGGGTTCCCTAGCTCACCATGGCATTCAGAGTCAGCTGCCATCCTTAGCAATCAACCCTACCATCTTCTGTTATGTTATTATATTCTACAAATGATTATGCTGGATTTTGACAAAGAATAGGGAATGATTTTTTAAAATTGATATCCACTCTACCATGGAAGAAATAAGTTTTTAAATTTTTATTAAGAGTAGCTTGATGTTGAAATGAAAGTATAACATCAGGTTTAGTTAATTTTCTGGAGGTGAATCTGTTTTCTAAAAACTACATGGATTTGGGAGTTAGTAGCTCTCTATCAGATCAGAATAATTCTGGTGTACTCATTCAACTTTTCCCCTTTGGATATTTCACATGTAGGCAAATCTTGAGAAGATGTGCCGTACATTAGAAGATCAGCTCAGTGAGGTTAAAGCAAAGGAGGAAGAACATCACCGTACTATCAATGACCTGACTGCCCAAAGAGCTCGATTACAGACAGAAACAGGTGAGATTCTAAATTCCCATTACTGAAATTATGGCCAAACCACTTTATTTATATTTTCTGACTCTTCCCAGCTGAGAATGGAGAATGAATTTTTCCAAATTTTATAATATCTTTGCACAATGGAATTGGATCCTGTGCTTGTTTGTTTAGACTCTCGACCTGGTGTTCTCAACTGCACAGGCTGAAAGAGATATCAGGGTGCAGAACATGAGTGTTCAACCACTGTTATTGAAAAATATAACTTCCTAATGCGATTTAACCTGTCTATGGCAAACCCTCTCCATGGGGAATGGACCTGTGAAAATGGTCTGCCCTCGGAGGCTTCCTGACCCAGAATGGTTCCAAGAAGCCTTGGGAGGGTACTTGGCTGGTCTGGTAGATGATTCTGTAGAATCTCAGGTTGATAGATGGTATTTGGAGACAACCTGGGCAGCTGACATGATCGCTCCTTTACACCCTTTCCACTTCAGAGCTTGTTCAGCCCCCTGGTATGGGGCTCCCAGCTATGAAGCTAGCAAGGATATGGGTAGAGAGCAGGTGGAGGAGGGACCAGATGTTGCAAAATAAGGTTGCTGTTAAGGTCGTGACTGGAAAGTATGCAAAGGCCTTAAAATGGCAAAAAGGGCATTTAACATCAAGACTATAGGGCATGCCACAAACTGATAAATAAAATTATTCTGGGTGGTTCACAACCTCACCAGTGCCAGTCACTCATGGCTTCACATTGATTTTACCAGCAACGAGTTTGCAGCCTTTTTAGATCCAAAATTGAGGCCATCCATGCTGATCCCGACTCCACCAACAGATTAGTTGACCATGGGGTGACCACTGCCACACCAACTCTGTCTGTTTGCATCAGTTTGTTCTTGTATCAGTGGAGGAATTCTCCAGCATGTTGATGAACTGCAGACCTACCACATCCTTGATTGACTCTTGCCCAGAGTGGCTGATAAAAGCTGCTAAGGGGGCCATGATTAAATGGGTCATGAATATCATAAATTCATCATTGAGGGAGGGACTCCTCCCCTCATGTACTAAAGAAACCTCATCCGCCCCATTACTAAGTGCCTCCAGTTGGTGATGGACAGTTCGAACAACTTTCACCTGATTGCCAGTATATCATTCCTGGGCAAGGTGATTGAGAGGGTGGTGGCAAATAAGCTCCAGACATACCTAGAGGAGCAAGAGTCCCTTGATCCCTTCCAGTCTGGATTCAGGCCACAGTGTGCTGCTGAGATAGCACTGGTCGCACTGCAGGATGACAGCTGGCAGGGGCAGATGTACCCTCTTGGTACTCCTGTATCTCTCAGCAATTTTTTGTATGATCGACCATAGTATCTTCCTGGACAGGCTCTCAGAGATTGGTATTAAAAGACTTAGTATTGAGCTGGTTCCGATTATTTCTTGAGGACTGTGTCCAGAGAGTTCAGCTAGGGGATGAGGTGTCGGCCCCTTGGACCCTAGGGTGTGGGGTTTCCCAGGGATTGGCCCTATCCTCAATGCCGTTTAACTTCTATGTGAAGCTGCTGAGGGAGGATCATCAGGGGCTTTGGAGAATGGTGTTACCAGTATGCTGATCTATCTCTCTATTTCTCCGTTACCACTCTGTGGTGAATGCTGTCCAAATGCCTGAACACTCTCTGGCTTCAGTACTGGAATGGACCAGAGCTAACAGGCTCAAACTGAACCCTGATTTTACTCCTGAGGGGGCATCCAAAAGTTTTTTGGGGGGATCATCCCTAGGCTGGATGCCATTGTCTTCTGTTTAGGGTTCGGGTTTGTAATTTGGGCTTTCTCCTGGACTTGGCTATTTCTGAGAAGTCCCAGATTGTAGCTATTTCCAGATCAGCCTTTAACCAACATTGGCTAATTGCCTGACTCTACCCCTACCTAGACAAGAGCTCCCTAAGCACCTTGGTGCAGGCACTGGTCATCTCCCGAATCGACTCCTGCAATGCTGTCCATGTGGGGCTTCCTTGAGGCTGATTTAGAGACTACATCAGGTCCAAAATGTGGCAGCCAGACTGGTGGGTGGTGCAAACAAGATTGACTGTATCACCCTGCTTCTGGCTTACCCATTGGGTTCTGGATCAGGTTCAAGGTTTTGATACTAACGTACAAAGCTTTCCTTGCTTTGAGTCCATGTTACTTGTCAGAGTGTATTTCCCCATGTCATCTGCCTGATCCATTAGATCAGAGGTTTCCAAACTTTTGAGCTTGAGAGCTACATCATATATTTTTCCCATCTTTGAGGGCCAGAGGAATGTGCATGTGCATACGCATGGCCATACACCCACACACACCCCTGCTCGCCCTGATGTCCGCCTGCCCAGTTCCACACATGCACGCACACACACATACACTTCCATCCTCACAGATGTCTGCCTGCCTGGACGCTTGCACACATGCACACATACTTACATACATGCCCACCCGGATATCCACCCGGATACCCATCCGGATACCCACCCGCTCTCACGCATGTCCATGCGTGCACACAAGCTGAAGATAACAGGCTGGATAAAATGGCAAGATGTGCCAGATGTGCCCAGCGGGCTGTAGTTTGGAGACCCATGCACTAGATCATCACAGATGAGGCTGCATCGGATGGACACCATGAGGGAGGCCTGTAACTCAACTACTAGAAGCAGGGCCTTCTTCACGGTGACCCGAACCTTGTGGAACCAGCTTCCAGAGAAGCTTCACCTTGCCTCCTCCCTGTAGACATTTAGGAGGCAACTGAAGATGTGGCTTTTCAGGAAGGCTTTCCACTCCAACCCTAGTGAACTGCCTTTTGCCCACCATTTTGTTGTTCTATAGTTTTAGCATCATCTGGTTTTATTGGTTACCGTACTTTTATTTTGGTTTTAAATAGTTTTTGTTTTGTATACAGTGGTGCCTCGCTTAACGAGCGCACCGTAGAATGACGAATCCGCATAGCGAGGGGGTTTTAGCGATCGCAAATGCGATCGCATACCGATGGCCCCTATGGCCGAAAATCGCTTTGTGATGATCGGTAAGCGGTTCGCTTACCGACCTTCGCTTTGCAACCCGCGGATCAGCAGTTCAGCGGCTCCAAAATGGCAGCCGGAAGCCCCGAAATGGCCGTGCGCAGCGTTTTCGTGCCCTCGGTAAGCGAGGGGAGGGCGCGAAAATGGCTGCTGGCCATAGGAAAACTTCGCTGAACGGTGAGTTTTGGAGCCTATTGGAACGCATTAAACTAAGTTTAATGCGTTCCAATAGCTTTCCCCGTTCCGTTCAGCGATGTTTTCACATAGCGAGGGTTAATCCGGAACGGATTAACCTCGCTATGTGGGGCACCACTGTATTGTAGAAAACCACCCACAGTAGTGACTTGGCACTAATGCGAAGTGGCATAAAAATTTAAGTAAACATCACCACCAACAACATCACATCATCAGAGCTACAAAAATGGCAATATTAAGAACAGCATACATACTGTGCCAATATTTAACAGATACTTAGGTTTTTGGTTAAAAATTGTATCTGTTATATAATACTAGTCAATGTTTTTATAATTTTTACTGTGCCCGGTGTTTTATAATAATAATAATAATAATAATAATAATAATAATAATAATAATAATAATAATAATAATAATAATAATAATAATAATAATAATAATAATAATAATAATAATAATAATAATAATAATAATAATAATAATAATAATAATAATAATAATAATAATAATAATAATAATAATAATAATAATAATAATAATAATAATAATAATAATAATAATAATAATAATAATAATAATAATAATAATAATAATAATAATAATAATAATAATAATAATAATAATAATAATAATAATAATAATAATAATAATAATAATAATAATAATAATAATAATAATAAAATTTATTGTCATTGTAAGTATATACACAGTATACCATATAGGTATCTTTCTCCCGATAAGGGGACCCAAGGCGACTCACAATATTAAAAAGAACAGAATTATAAGCATAATAAGTGAAAGATTAAAAAACAATTAAACTATATGCTAATTAAAATATAATCGATTAATTAAACTTTTAAAAGGCATTTAGAGACTCAATTATGATTGTTAAAAGCTTGCCTGAAGTGATGGGTCTTCAGCTGTCAGTGGAAGGATAAAAGGGAAGGGGCCAGCCTGAGTTACACTTTTAGTCTAAAATAATAATGATAATGCCATGGCTTTCCTAAAGAACAAGCAATATAACAAGTTACCTTTTTGGTTCAGAAAAGTTCTCTGCGCATTTAACTGAGGACTTCACAAATCTGTAATTCAACTGGACAAAAGAAGCTCTATGCTCACTTGTTTCAATCCCCTAAGCTTCTATCATTTTGCATGTTTATTATTTCTACTAAGAACAAATACATAACTGCCCACAATTTGCCCCGCAATGAGGCTGTCAAACACTGTATCTGAGTGGACAGCCTCTAGTCCATGTAACTGGAGCTAATGTTGTGCAATAATGGCCACAAGTATACATTTACAGATATAGTAAAGGTAATGGGAATTGACAGATTAATCACATACATGTGTACTGACATGTGTTTTACAACAAACAATGCTACCGGAATGAAATTTCTTCCTTTCCCCTTATTTCAGGCAAAGAATGCGCTGGCCCATGGCTTGCAGTCTGCTCGCCATGATTGTGACCTGCTCCGAGAGCAATATGAAGAGGAGCAGGAAGCTAAGGCTGAGCTGCAACGTGCCATGTCCAAGGCCAACAGTGAAGTTGCCCAGTGGAGGACCAAATATGAAACTGATGCCATTCAACGGACAGAAGAGTTAGAGGAAGCCAAGTAAGTGCCAGCATTCATTTGCAGGTGAGCAATTATAACGGCAAAGATGTGTATGTTTTAATGGTATACTAGGAGGAGAGCCTAGGAAGATGGCAGAACATCTTTCTAGAAGGTCCACTGGGGGAAATAGTGGTATCAGATCAGAAAAAGTCACACACTGCTTTCATTCGGGGCTCAGAGAAACCACACAGATTTATTTGCACGGCAATATGCATTAACAGGAAAGGAGCAGATTGATATGTTCCTGAGATTCCACAAATGTCTTCAAAGAGTCAAAAATCTTGGAATGTTGGTTAGGGATGATAAACTATCATTGCCTGCTGCAATTACATCCTTGCAGGAAAAAGCTTGCCCAGCGTCTGCAGGAAGCTGAGGAACATGTTGAAGCTGTGAATTCCAAATGTGCTTCTCTTGAGAAGACAAAACAGAGGTTGCAGAATGAAGTGGAGGACCTGATGATTGACGTGGAAAGGTCCAATGCAGCCTGCGCAGCTCTAGACAAGAAGCAGAAGAACTTTGATAAGGTATTTCTAGATATTGTAAGAATTGATACTGAATGGGCTGCAAAAGGTTTTCTACTTTTATAGAAATATATTGAGATGTATTTGATGATGTTTTGTAGATTCTGGCAGACTGGAAGCAGAAATTTGAGGAAGCTCAATCTGAACTGGAAGCTTCCCAGAAGGAGACTCGTTCTCTCAGCACAGAACTCTTTAAGATGAAAAATGCTTATGAGGAGTCCCTGGATCACCTGGAAACTCTGAAACGAGAGAACAAGAATCTGCAGCGTAAGTCTGTTCCCTCATTTTTTTTTCTAAGCTCCTGGAATTGAGGAGCTATTTCTTAGAAGAAGAAAAGCAACTAAGCATATGTATCAGAAGTGACCAAGAACATGTTATTGCTTGAGGAAGAGCAGTAAACATAATCCCCACCTTGTCCTGTCCAGTACGTGAAATTGTTCAAGGTATTTTGGCACCTGAGGCAGAAATCCTTACAAGGCTCTCTTCCTTTCTATGGCAACATGGCATGAGATATCATGACATATGACAGGATGAGATGACATACTATAATACACTACACTACACTACACTACACTGAGATTTTGACCAAACTCCAGGAGGCAGAGGAAGACAGGAGGGCCTAGCGTGCTCTGGTCCATGGGGTCACAAAGAGTGAACACGACTTAACGAGTAAACAACAACACTATACTGAGATACAGTTAAAAGATGGATGTCTTTTCCCAAGATGTAAAACCAATCCAGTCTGAATGGGATATCCTCATAGCATTTCTTTCCAAGGTTGAAGGTGCGTCAGAGATTACACCTGGAATGTGTAGGACTTTCAGCAAATTCATTCTTGTTTCTTATTTTTATATGCTCTGATAAGGCTGTTAGGTTATTATACATTGTACAAACTAGAAATTAAATAGATCAGGCCCACAGGCTTAAAATCAGAACTGTAGTATTACTATATTGCTGGATGGATAGCTCAATTTGTTAGATATCTGGAGTTTGATTGCCTACGGTGTTTCCTGGGAGAAGACCCAGCCAGTGCAGCCTTGGGCAATCTGTACAGTCATAGCATGCCCTCAGGGGAAAAAACAAACAATTTTGGAGTACTCTATACCTATACAAAGGGACGTGGTGGCGCTGCAAGTTAAACCGCTGAAGCCTCTGTGCTGTAAGGTCTGTAGATCTTCAGCTGTAAGATCGAATCCACATGACAGAGTGAGCGCCCGTCGCTTGTCCCAGCTCCCACCAACCTAGCAGTTCAAAAGCATGCAAATGCGAGTAGATAAATAGGCACCACCTCGGTGGGAAGGTAACAACATTCCGTGTCTAAGTCACACTGACCATGTGACCACAGAAGATTGTCTTTGGACAAACGCTGGCTCTATGGCTTAGAAATGGGGATGAGCACCACCCCCTAGAGTCAAAAATGATTGGACAAAAATTGTCGAGGGGAACCTTTACCTTTTATACCTATACAAACATTAAAAGGTTTGACATAAGTCAGAACAGACTTGGCAGCATGTACATATTATTTTTTTATTATTATTATATTTATACAATATAATTCTATAGTAGTAGAATTTAGTCTCAAACTGATGGGATGGAGTAAATGAAGAGAATTTAACAGCTGTACTCATTTGGATCACTGCCATCTATATAAACAGTATTAATTTTTTTTGTCTTTTCCCTTTACTTTTATGGACCTAACAGAGGAGATAGCTGACCTAACAGAACAGATTGCTGAGGGAGGAAAGGCCATCCATGAACTGGAGAAAGTGAAGAAGCAAATCGAGCAAGAGAAATCTGAGTTGCAGGCTTCCCTAGAAGAAGCTGAGGTAATCCTGTCAGTATTAATTAGAAGAAAAAGAAAGCTTCTGAAAGCCAACTCTGAAAGAATCCAACAGACAATTGAAAAGTGAATAATAATGATAAGTGCAACATTGCTGGATTTAGCAAACAACCAACTTATTCCAACAATCTGTTTACATTTGGAAAGTCTGTGAAAAGAGCAATGAAGGCAACAGCTCATTGTGATTATTGCTCTCCAAAAACTGATAATCACAATCTTCCTGCCTTGAAAACTGCTTGTCCCTTTTGTGACTAATAAATTGCAGTTCTCTTCTAATTCTTCTTAGAAGGCATGAAAAATTATGACAATTGCCACATCATGTGGTTATTCCATGAAGTAGTATATCCCTTTACCTGTTCTGAAATCTCTGTTAACCTGTTCTCTGAATGATCCCAGCTACTGGCATATGGGAGGAAGACACGTCTCTGTCTGAAAACTCCACACAAATCATAGTTTTATAAACATCTGTTGTCCAGCTTCATAATGTGTCCTCTTATTAACTCTTTCCTTTCAAGGCCTCACTAGAACATGAGGAAGGGAAGATCCTCCGCATCCAGCTAGAGCTCACCCAGGTGAAGGCTGAGATTGACAGAAGAATTGCAGAGAAGGATGAAGAGATTGATCAGCTGAAGAGGAATCACTTGAGGGTGGTAGAAACCATGCAGAGCACACTGGATGCTGAGATCAGGAGCAGAAATGAGGCTATGCGGCTCAAGAAGAAGATGGAGGGGGATCTGAATGAAATGGAAATCCAGCTGAGCCATGCCAACCGCCAAGCTGCTGAGGCCACCAAGAACCTCAGGAACACACAAGGGCTGCTCAAGGTATACAGAATGTTTTCAGGCAACACCATGTCATAGAGAAAATGCATCACAATTTTGTCTCACTAAGTCTGAACAGTAAATCAGCCAGGTAATTCGGTTTTTGACCTCATCAATTTTCCCCCTTCTTTTCACAGGATACTCAGCTGCATTTGGATGATGCTCTGAGGAGTCAAGAAGACCTGAAGGAACAGGTGGCCATGGTGGAGCGCAGAGCTAACCTGATGCAAGCTGAGATAGAGGAACTCCGGGCAGCTCTGGAACAGACAGAGAGGGGCAGGAAAGTGGCTGAACAGGAGTTACTGGACGCCAGCGAGCGTGTGCAACTCCTCCACACACAGGTGAGCATACAGTAAATTTATGTAAGACAGGTGCAGGAATCGTTTTAGTTCAGAAGAATTTGCTCCTTTTCTGTCACTCCACTGTAGCTTAACAAAACTGCTATTGCCAGGCGACACTTTAGGAAATGAGGCAGCTAAGGGTGCAACTGCGTTGGACAGCTGAATTGTTCCAAATGTTTCAAAAATCTGACCAATAATTTTGCTAAATATATCATCACACATCAGAATGCTTTCATAAGAGTGGTCTTTTAGACCAGATGGGCGGGGTATAAATCAAATAAATAAATAAATAAATAAAATAAAAATAAATAAAATGAATCATCACTTTCTTCTTTCCACCCATTACTCTTTTCTCCTACTTTCAAGTAACACATGCACAAATTACCTTGTCACAATTTATCATGCCAATAGTTTAAAACCAACTGTGAACATAGACAAGGTAATTCCTGCATGTGCTACTTGAAAGTAAGAGGGGAGAAAAATTAACAGATGGGAAGGGGGAGGTATTTTTATTATACTTCCAGACTTTTCAATTGAATAATTAACAGCACTAAGCTTTTGCTTCACAACAAAAGCACCTTCCCACATGATCTGACAGGATTCAAGACTAAAACCCAATACTCCACATTAAATTCACAAAGTTTTACTGTTGTACTCCCCCACCTCCTTCAGGCTGAACATCACACTCCAACAGCCTACATCACTGAAACACCACCTAAAGACATTCTTTACAGGAATGTATCACAATTAACTTATAGAAAAAGGCTGTTCAAATAATTTCGGCTTAAAATACATTAGAAGCCCCCCAGCAGCAAAGGGGGAAAAGCCACTTTGGAAGCAGAAAAGGACTAGACCAATTTGAATCAACCTATGTGTCATGTAGTCCGTACAAAATACTTCAAGTTCACCTGTTTTATAAGCATAGGAAATCCCACGGTATTTTACCAGGTAGTCACACTCAAATGGAGCTAGTTTCTCTATTGCAGTCTCCAATCAGCTACAGTTGTGTTAATATTAGCTTTTACAAAACAAAAGGAACACAAATGAAAAATCTAGCCTGCATTAAGTTATGAACAATATTTTCCCCCTCTAAATAGAATACCAGCTTGATCAACACCAAGAAGAAATTGGAAACAGATATAGCCCAAATCCAAAGTGAAATGGACGAGATAATTCAGGAAGCACGCAATGCAGAAGAAAAGGCCAAGAAGGCCATCACTGATGTAAGTCGGAAGAAACTTCCTAAGAAAAGATTACTCTGTTTACACCTAACATGTATAGCTTTCTAAATTGGGTGCCTTGTATCATTAGGCAGCCATGATGGCAGAGGAATTAAAGAAGGAGCAAGACACCAGTGCTCACCTAGAGAGGATGAAGAAGAACCTGGACCAGACTGTGAAGGACCTGCAGCACCGCCTGGATGAGGCAGAACAGCTGGCAATGAAGGGTGGCAAGAAACAACTCCAGAAACTGGAGCAGAGAGTGTGTATCTGTTATTCACAAATTCATCCCATCCTCATTCTGTTGGAGTGGTTAAGAACCCAAGTGCTGATTGTTAATTCCTGTTTTTTCAGGTGCGTGAGCTGGAAGCTGAAGTTGAAAATGAGCAGAAGCGCAGTGCTGATGCTATCAAGGGTGTTCGTAAATATGAGAGGAGAGTAAAGGAACTGACCTACCAGGTAAGGATGCAGTTCTTCTGGATCTTTGGGAACTTTAAATATACATGAATGAACCAGTGAAAACACTACCATCAGAGGCACTCACTCCATTCTGTATTGTTATCTACTCTGTTCAGTCTGAAGAAGATCGGAAGAATGTTCTCAGACTCCAGGACTTGGTTGACAAACTGCAAGTGAAAGTGAAGGCATACAAGAGGCAATCTGAAGAAGCTGTACGTATTAACCCCAAAATGGCATACCTTGAACTAGAATCATGCAGACCAGTTCTATATAAAGAACAATGGTTTATCTGCACCCTTAATTGCAAAACAGATTAATCCATATAAGACCTAAGATAATTAAACTGCATAAATTGAAGAAGCCCAGTGTGCTTCATGGGTCTGTGGAATTTTAACCTAATTCCTCACTGGTAAGCAGACAGCCTCACTAGTACATCAAATGGGGCTCTCATTTGTAGCTGTTAAAGGGAGTTTATTTCTCAACTGGGATTCCTTTTTCTAATGTGTAGAAATCAACTAATGCTTATGGCTCTAGGGTTGTTGACAGTTATCTAGATATGGTTGTGTGTAACACCTGCACATCATGAGAAAATAATCAGAAATGTGCATTCTCATCTGTATAATCAACCAAAAGTACAGTGCAGGTATATATCTGAATGTGGACTGCTAGGTTTTCAGAAGTCTCTGTGACCTGCTGTGGGTCACTGGATCTGGAAGGCAAACAAGCTTCAGGTTGAACAGTGCTGGAGGAGGAGACCATGTGGTGTGTGAAGTGGATTTAAAGCCTAGGCATCCCTCTTTATTCATTCCAGGTGGCATCAAGGCTCCCTGAACGGGTTTGTGTGTGTGTTCCTTCAAAGGGCATAGTAGGTCCACATGTATGCATTCATTGGTTCCATCCACAATCACCTCCCCTCACTGTTGGCTTTTTGACAGACTCTCATTGGGCCCATCATATATTTATTGCACAAGCCCTGGCAGTAGTGATTTAAGTGGAAAAAGACCCCTTATCTTTTCTCTGTCCTGTCTTTGTGACATTAGAAAGCTGCCCCTGCATCATCACAGTGCTCCTGCACCCAGGTCTTGCTCCTGAAATTGCAACAAATGGGATGATGTTGATTTGGTGATCCTAATCTACACATAGCCTTCAGATGTGACTCCTGATTAGAGATGGACATAAACCTTGGTTTGGACGTTCGTGCCAGTTTGGCCCTTCCCCCACCTCCCTGGCCAATAACCCACTCACCAGCCAGTGCATGATCCTGTCCTCCGCCTCTCCTTTGGCTGTTCGACCAGTCCCTGGCAAGAACGTGGTTTTGCCTATCTTGCCTCCTTGTCTCAATGGGCGATCAGCCAAGGAGGCGGGACAGGGAAGCCCATGCTCCTGCCGGAGACTGGTTGAACAGCTGAAGAGGAGGAAAGGAGTGTGCTCTGGCTGGTGAGTGGGGGATCCAGCTGGGGAGGTGAAGGAAGGGAACATGTGGCACCACAGGTGCCGTGCATATGAACCTCTGAACCGAGGTTTGTGCCCATCTCTATTCTTGATTCAGCAAAGTCACCGGCATAGTAGGGAAGCTGTGTGTTAGCCAAATGTGTCTACTCTGAATATCATATGGCGTAGCAACATACTCATTTTCTCAAGGTTGCCTTTGAAATATTTGGGGCAGATCCAGATCCAGAGTACAGGAGAGAAAAGAGTATCTTACAAAACACTTCTCACTACAGTTCAGTGTAATAGTGTGGCACTAAAGAATATCAACTGATTAGGCATATAGCCTTTTTATATAAGTTTGTTTGTGTTTGCATAAAAATATTAAGGCTATAGAGGAAAGGCCTGTCTAAAAAAACCATGTTTTTAGCAATCCTTAAAAGTTCCTAGTGAAGGGGCCAGGTGAATTTCAGGCAGGAGGTTGTTCAAGAGTAGACGAGCGACCATCAAGAAGTCCCGTTTTCTAGTCCTCTCTTTCCAGGCCTCTCTCAGGGTCAAAACTCTCAACTGCCTGGCCTGGAAAGATCATATAGGATGGGCAGATCTTGACAGGAGGCGGCGTTCTGCCAGGCATTGAGGAATGGAATCCTCTGCAGAGGGTTGGAAGGAGAGAGAGCTGGTGTTATAAGATGAAACCCTATGACTAGCCAAAACAAAGCAAGTCTAGACACCCTAACCCTATTTAGTAAAATTTTATTCAAACTCTGTATTAGAGGAGAATAAAGTCATAAATTGCATGGAAGGATAAATAAAATAAGAGCCTTTTCTGCATAGTTCCTAAACTTGCTACATCCTAAATAGTAGTTCCAATAGTTCAAACAGGAAGATGCAGTATCTTTCCTAACTGCCAGTAGCAAGAATATGGCCCATTCCAGACAAAACATAAAAGATGCTGAAGGAAGAGTCTTGATGAGAACAGGCCCGGAAGGAGAAGACACGAAACCGGGCCTTCTCGGCAGTGGCTCCTTGCCTTTGGAGCAATCTCCTTCCGGGAATTTGCGCGGCCCCTACACTGGGCATCTTCAAAACCCAATTAAAAACATGGTTATTTATTCAGGCCTTCCCTCCAGCCAATTCTTGATTCTCTTCTTCTTATTTTCCTATTTTTTAGTTTATTCTAGTTATTTTGTATTAGCTATGTATCTGTTGTATTTTATTGTTTAATTTTATATTGGAAGCCGCCTAGAGTGGTCCATCGGTCCAGATAGGCGGGGTATAAATCAAATAAATAAATAAATAAACATACTGTTCGTGTTGCTCACGATTCAGGAGAGGAGGTGGAAGAAAATGTGAACCCAGCCTATAAAGGGGAGAGTACGCTTTCCCTGAGACACCTGAGGGACATCATATAGATGGGTTCCAGTGCTATCAGCATCTCCCACAGATGCAGCCATTTGAGTAAGATGCTTTAGACACAAAGTTCTCTCTCCTCGGTTTTCTTAAAGGTGCAGATTTGTTGTCCCTCTTTTCCCCTTCAAAATTACTTGTACTGTTTGAATCTCTCATCTATGCTAGTCCGTTTGCCAGTCCACAGAATTCACTTTCCCTTCCATTTTCAGGAGGAACTATCCAATACAAATCTTTCCAAGTTCCGCAAGATTCAGCATGAGCTGGAAGAGGCCGAAGAGCGGGCCGACATTGCTGAGTCCCAGGTGAACAAGCTCCGGGTGAAGACTCGAGAAGTCCGTAAGACTATTATAAGTGAAGAATAAATCCCGCTGGAAGCTGTGGAGTGACTGAAGAGAAGCACAGAATGTGAAACTCTTTGCCACTTGTTGTAATTACTTCCCTTTTCCCTCAGTGTTTAGAAAATAAAGATTTTAGAAGATGTTTGCATAACTAAAAAGGCCTGTGACTTTTCTCTTTAAGCCCTTAAAGCTTTATTTTTAAGCTTTTAGTACTGTTCAGGTAGAGAATGTAGCTTTATGAGCCAGTCTTTCTGAGTTATATCTGAACAGTTCAACTAAAAGATCAGGAAGGTCTTTCGTTTACCACTAAAATATCATGAACAGAAGCTATTTATTTATTTATTTATTTATTTATTTATTTATTTATTTATTTATTTATTTATTTGCCACCCATCTAGAACATGTCTACTCTGGGTGACTTACATATACTGTAACATGAAAATAAACTGGGTTAAAATCCAAATAAATCACAATCACAAAATCCAAGATTTCAGATTTGTATACCGCTCCCCATTAGTGCCGAAGTGCTATTATGGGTGGCTTATTTATTTATTTATTTGATTTATATACTGCCCATCTAGAACGGGTCTGTTCTGGGTGGTTTACATATAATATAAAAAATAAACTAAGATAAAATCCAGATTAATCCAAGATGGGAAAGGAAAAAGAAAAAGGGGGAAGAAGGAAAAAAGAGAGAAAAGAAAAAGAAGAAAAGGGGAGATAGGCTAGGGATGGCTGTAGGGAAGGCCTGCCTATATAGCGGTGTCTTCCAGTTAGTCTTGAAGGCCCTCAGCAAGGGAGCCAGGCGGATCTCAGCAGGTAAGTTGTTCCAAAGCCGAAGGGCCACTGCCGAGAAGGCCCGATTTCTCTTTTTTTCTTTCCCACCGGGCCTCTCTTGGCATTAGGTCCTCAGCCACGTGGCCTGACTGGAGCAGGTGATATGGGTAGAACTGGGTGGAAGAAGGCGCTCTGCCAGGTATCAAGGGCCTAAACCGTTAAGGGCTTTGTATGTAGTAGTTAGCACCTTGAAATCGATGAGGAAGTGAATAGTTGGCCAGTGTAAGGCAGCCAAGGTGGGGGAAATATGGTGAAATCTTTTCACTTCTATTAATAGCCTGGCCGCCGTGTTCTGGACCATCTGGAGCTTCTGCACCAGTCTCAAAGGAAGCCCCACATAGAAAGTGTTACAGTAGTCTATTCTTGAGACTATGAGTGCAAGGACCAGCATGGTGAGCGCCCTCGCGTCTAGATAGGGACGCAGATGGGCGAGCCGCTGAAGATCTAAATGGGCAGACCGAACCATGGACGCTACCTGGGTCTCCATGGTAAGCGCCAGATCAAGATGGACCCCCAGACTGTGAATAAATATTTTTGTGTTGAGAATCACCCCCCCCCAAAAAGAGAGGGAGTTCCCCAAACCACTGACATCGGGGCCACCCACCCTCAGGTCCTCTGTCTTGTCCAGGTTCAACTTTAGTCCATTCGACTACATCCATTGCAGAACGGCCTCAAGGCAGCACCCAAGGGACAGAATGGCATCCACTACAGATGGAAAAAAGGAGATGTAGAGCTGGGTGTCATCAGCATATTGGTGACACAAAGCTCCACATCCCCGGATGAGGCCCCCCCATGGCCTCATATAGATGTTAAACAGCATTGGGGAGATGATCGAACCCTGCGGAACCCCACAACCGAGGGACCACTGGGCCAATACATTCTCCCCAAGCTGAATTCTCTGGGGATGGCCCTCCAAGAAGGACTGGAGCCAGGCAAGACCAAGGCCAACAATCCCCAACTAGTAGAGCCTCTCCAGGAGGATACCGTGGTCGATGGTATCAAAGGCAGCTGAGATGTCTAGGAGGATGAGCAAGGACATTTTGCCCCTCTTGGGTCCCTAAGTAGGTCATCCAGCAGGGCAACCAATGCCATTTCTGTGCCGTGGCACGGTCTGAAGCCTGACTGAAATGGATCCTGGGCATCAGTTTCATCCAATGAGCCTTAAGCTGGTTGGCCACCACCCTCTCAACTACCTTGCTAAGGAAAGAAACATTGGCAACGGGCCTGTAATTGCCAATGTTGTCTGCCACCAAGCTTGGTTTCTTCCTAATGGGGCTAATGAGTATTTCCTTAAGGGCAAGAGGAACCTTGCCCACAAGAAGAGATCAATTTATTATTTTAGTGGCCCATTCAGTTACCTAGCAGCTCTGGTTAGCCAGGCTGGGCAAGGGTCAAGGGAGGAGGTGGTGGCTTGACCTTGTCCACCTCTGCAGACATCACAGGTTGAAACGGAATAATTCTTTTTTTAAAAACATTTTTTATTAATTTTCCAATCTATCTACATTGTTTGTGCTTGTCAAACATCATGTTACATACTTGCTTGCAATTATTTGTTTTTTACATCTCAGTGTCTTCCCAATTATCCCCCCAAATTCCAAACATCTTTCAAACCATTCATATACAGATTTTAGTATATAACTACTATCATAATATTACTCTCATATTATATAAAGTTCTCAGGATCTTCTAATAACATTCTTATTGAAAGTGGTTCCAGATCCATGACCCAGCTTTATATCTAGTTTGCCTAAAATAAAAAATCACCACATTACATCTTTACCCTGATTTGGGCTCCCTTATTTCAATTTAGTTCTCCTTTTAATATATAGAATATACCCTTTTACAGATCCAGATATAAACATGTTTCCAATATTAAGTGGCCCTTCCTTGTTTTCCCTTTTTTCATCTTTCTAGGTAATTCCCTCTCTGGTTCCTCTTTTTTCATTCCCTGCTATGTCCCTAAACATTCTGTCATCTTTCATGTCCCCTGAAACCATTTTTAGTTCTGATTTATGTCCAGTAACTCCTTTTGTACTTGGTCTATCTTCAATGAGTCTTCCAGGCTTTTTTTGGTTAATTTTGGTGTTTTTTTTCCTTTTGTCTTCCCCTGGTACTCTCCTCTGGTCCAAGACTGATGTTTCTCTTAGGTTAACTTTCTCAAGCTGCTGCTTGGTTTGGCATACATCATCTGTGATACT